TGTGGATGTCAAAGGACCTGTTTGGTTGAGTAACAGGGGCCACAGAGAATGACACAGAAGCTCCATGGATGACTTGGATATCTTGACGCACCGCACGAAGTGCTAAGTCCTCAGGATTGCCTTGGAGGCCTAGCTGCTCTGCTGCTTCATGTAGAAGTATAGTGCGCTCCGACCCGTCGTCCAACAGGGTGTACGTGTCAAGTGACTTGTTGCCGCTCCGCTAGATGACTCGACTCATCTTCAGCAACACCTTGCTGCAAACGGAAGGTTGATCAACGTAGAGGGTCTCTTCAGTGGAGCTCACCAGGCAAATGCTCTCAGTTGGCGCCTTTGTGCTGGCGTTCTTTGAAGCAGTTGGGCTAGTGTTGACCTCGTGGAGAATCTGAAGATGCTTCTTCTCGCACTTCTTGCACTTAGCCTTGAGAGTACACTGGTGTTCGCGTCCACACTTCCAACATCTTTTATTTGTCTTGATCCAGGATTCTTTCTGTTCTTTGGAAAGGAGCTGAAAGTTGGTGCATTGATTCATGTAATGCTGCGTGGTGTTGCAGAACAGACAATATTGATTTAGCTTCTCCCGTGACCTTTCCTCCGGAGACTGGTTCTGTGCAGAGACTTTGGCTTCATCCTTTCTCTGCTCACTTCCGTGGAGGATGGTGGTGGTCTTGGGGAAGGATTTGTCTTTACGCTGATCTCGGCGTGAGCTAGGGTGGTCCCTGCTTTGGTCACTACTGAACTGCGTGCCATCTACTTGCACTCTCACCTCGTACTCGAGCCACTCTGCCAGGTGAAGGAGGGTTGGAATGGGTGTCTTGATGGGGTTCAACATGCCAACCAAGGCACGCACGCTCAGAGCGAATCTTCGGAATGCCTTGGTGTCACCACTCTTGATGTTGGGGCCATCCATTAACCCAGCGATGCGTTGGAGGGCAAGCTGGTGAGGCTGGCCATACAGTTCTGTGAGGGACTCCATGGTGTCACTGTATGGATACCTGCTGTTGCTGTAGGAGTCGGCAATTAGCATAGCCTCTTCAAACTTCTGGTGGTCCACCAATATCTGAAACTTGGAGCACTCTGTTGCATTTACAGGCAGCACATTGTCGAGGGCCATGTTCAGCCTTGCAAACGCTCGTTGGGTCTTCATTGAGGAAGTTGGGGATGGTAGGAGTTGGTCCACGGTAGGCCCGCTCCCGGCTGGTTGGAGAAGGTGTGCGGTAGCGGACAGGTGAGTGCCGACGGCGATCAGGTGAGTAGGCCTGGCGGCGATGGTCAGGCGAGTAGTCGTAGTGGCGATGGTCAGGTGAGGGCTGACGACAACGGTCAGGTGAGTAGTCGCAATGGTCAGGCGTAGGTTGACAATGGCAGTTCAGGGCTTACGGCGGTAATCAGGAGTAGGCTGACCGTAGCGGTCAGGTGAGTAGTCGCGATGGCGTCGGTCAGGTGAGTAGTTGCGGCGGCGACAGTCAGGTGCGCGCTGACGACAGCCAAGGTAGTGATTTGAACTGTTGGGGATCCATTGAAGCGGATGAATTTAGGTCTTCCGATAGCTCCAGTATCTCCCATGTCAACTTCTCAGTTTCCTCTCCTATCAGCTTCAGGCACGTTACGACTGTTCTGGAAGAAGAACGGGTTTCTCTCTCATCTCGTGCAGGAGGGTAGCTGCTTCTGGTCTTGTTGTGAGAGTAATTAATTCCACTCACAGCGCCCTCTGCTCGTGGTCCCTCATTGGAGTGGTGTGTTGTTGTGTGTTGTGTGTGGTGTCTGCCTTGACTCGTAGCTTACCCCATAGTCGACCAGACGATGTGGGGGAGGAGTTTGACGGCGGGGACGAACCACAACTTCTGGAGCATCTTCTCTGGAGACTGGCATCCTTGGACATCCATGAAAAATATGGGTTGTTTATGAATTCGAAGGACCAATAAAAAGGGATAGAAAACGTAGGTGCTGGATTTTAGGCCGGTAGCAACCACCACAGGGTGTCCGTTCAGAACACGAGGAAGCAGTAGTTCCAGTTCAAGGGTTTAATAAAGATCCACACACACACACATACAATACCACTCTCTCTGATACTAATTGTGGTTCTGTAAAGAAAAGAGGAGAACTTAGGCTATAGCACAGTATGGGAAAAATATGCCTATTTGCATGTCAACAAACTAAACAGGCTATGTGGACCCAAACACATGCTAGATGCACAAAGAAACAATAGAGCACTATAGAAATATCTACACATTATAAAACATAATAAACCTCGATACAATCCTGTCTTCGACCTCATGGCTTGGTTTTTGCTCTGACATGCACTGTCAACTGTGGGAACTTATATAGACAGGTGTGTGCCTTTCCAAATCATATCCAATCAATTGAATTTACCACAGGTGGACTCCAATGAAGTTGTAGAAACATCTCAAGGATGATCAATAGAAACAGGATGCACCTGAGCTCAATTTCGAGTCTCATAGCAAAGGGTCTGAATACTTATGTAAATAAGTATTTTAAGGTTTCTTCATCCTTATGGGGTATTGTGTGTAGATTGATGAGGAAAACATTTATTTAATTAATTTTAGAATAAGGCTGTAACGTAACAAAATGTGCAAAAAGTGAAGGGGTCTGAATACTTTCCGAATGCACTGTACGTAGTGGGTGAAGTGACCAGTGTTCAATGACTCAATAGGAATTAATGGAATTCTACAGTATTTCAATAAAATGTTTCAAGGACAAAATTACATGTATTTAAGTATTTTTGTTGTTGCAGTGGGGACAGTAACTTTAGTACGTTCAAAAAAAGATACTTTAAGGTAAAATAAATTATATATTTTTTAAATGTTTATGTTTAGCTAACATAATATCATTTAAGATTGCATTAAGGTGTCTGTAATAGAATAAACGTGTCAAAAACAAATGTAGACATTAATAAATGATTTTTTTTGCTTACAACATATTTTTTACAACAGTGGGGGAGTGCCGAGATGGAGCCGCGGTGGCTTCAAAACATGGTCCCCTGTCAGTCATCTAGTGTATATATTAATCATTGGGTGTGGGAGAGCCATTGTCTGTACACTCTACCACTCAGAGGGGGCTACATAGTGTTGATGTCACCCACACTACCTCCGGAGGTACTGTAGTGTGGGAGACATCTCTTAAAGAGAGATTTGAATCTAGATCCGTCTCTTTACACTACACAAGTATCTCTCCTGGAACTAGTTTGTGCCGTCAAATTAATGTAGTGTAAAGAGGCCCTAAGGATGCTATCTGTCGGGCTGCTGTCAACAGTATGTCAGAGCCTAACTGTAGAGAATTCTGCTGTGTTAATAGTTTCAAAGGGTTACAAGCTGTGCTGCCAAATGCTCCAGAGGGGAGCCCAGCCCATTACACCATAGAGATCGCTATGGGACTAATACCAGCTTTCTTAACAAAAGAACATCAGTCCACAAGCACTTGAGACTGAGCTCTGAGAGGCAGGCAGAAACCACTGTGACGTTCAATGCATCTGCCCGTGTGATTAAAATGAGCATGGTCCTCAGCACCTGACGCAGGCTTATCAAAGAGCTGGTTGAACTTGCTGCAGATCAAACACTGAGAGTAAATTTCCTCCTATTATTTTTCTATTACCAAAGCCCCATTTTCCAAGGGATTTTCTCATGACTCTCTGGGACTTAGATTGCCTCTGGCCCCCAAGCACTGTAATACTAACCACCTGATCTGATATTAAGACATGCAATTGTGTTGGTGGATTCAGTGCTCATTCTAATTTGGTTGATCTCAAGGAAACTTTAAGATGGGAGCTCCCAGGTCTGGAAAAAAACAATCACCTGAATGACACAGATAACTTTTTGATAGTGTAATCACATACAGTGGGGGAAAAAAGTATTTAGTCAGCCACCAATTGTGCAAGTTCTCCCACTTAAACTCAGCATTCTTTGTCCTCCAAACACGACGAGTTGAGTTTTTACCAAAAAGTTCTATTTTGGTTTCATCTGACCATATGACATTCTACCAATCCTCTTCTGGATCATCCAAATGCACTCTAGCAAACTTCAGACAGGTCTGTGAGAGCCAGAAATCTTGCTTGTTTGTAGGTGACCAAATACTTATTTTCCACCATAATTTGCAAATAAATTCATTAAAAATCCTACAATGTGATTTTCAGGAATTTTTTTTCTCATTTTGTCTGTCATAGTTGACGTGTACCTATGATGAAAATTACAGGCCTCTCTCATCTTTTTAAGTGGGAGAACTTGCACAATTGGTGGCTGACTAAATACTTTTTTCCCCCACTGTATCTGTTCAGTTTAACTCATGAAAAAAGTGAAATGAGCATGTGATAACACTGTAGTAATAGTCATGTAATAGTGTGATTAAAGTACCATATGGAACCTTAGTATGCCTCCAAACTAAGGTTGGTGAACTTCTGGAACTCTTTATGCCGCTCTCATTTATAGTGGTCCTTTGCCAACCAGTGGTAAAAGTTTAATTGGACTTTCAGAATGTTTATGTGCTTCTGCGGATGACCTTTGGCCTCCGACCCTTCTGACAGCCGTCTTCCCTCAACTAAATGTCAGAGTGACTGTTTTTAATCTTAGTCATTATGTTTAAAAAACAACTACTATTAGGTTACATCAGAAGTTGTGCCAGACCACCCAATGAGAACACTAGAGCAGAGCTCTTTTGGCTGACAGGTACAGTCTCCCTGCTATCCTCGCAATTAAACCTGATCTCACTTTGCAAATCCCTTGAGGACTTTGTGTGTGTGTGTATATTAATACTGCCTTGCGTAACATCATAAACAGCCATATTTGGAGGCCAGGAGGAGGGTGAAGTTGGGGCCGTTGGTGTGTTGATATTTGGTGCTGCTGCTTGCTGGAAGCATACTGGGATAAGAATAATCTGTCTATCAGAACATGGAAAAAAAACGGCAAACACCAAAGTTGTGAACCCCTGGCTGAAAGTTTCCATGGCGCACTGTCTGTTGACCAACACCCCTCTCTTTCCTGGACACTAGGGGTTACCTAATCGCTGCTCCTTCAGTGTTCCGTGCTGGTGTGGAGGAGGCCTTGAGTGTCACTATCTTCAACGCTGTGGAGGAGACGCACGTCCAGGTCCAGCTCTCTGTGAAGGGTGAGACAGTGGCACACAGCCATGGCACTGTGCTAGGTGAGGACCCACACACACACACACACACACACACACGCTGACATAGGAACACACACCACAGTTTCTTACACACACTGAGTGCACACACACACTTACAGGGGAACACACAGCGTGAGGCTGATTGACCTGTCGGGTGAAGTGTATACTACTGACCTCACAGGGCCCTTAACAGATGTCGCTTTTGAATGGGGGTTTATTGTTAAGCCTGGCTTGTCTAACCAGGCTATTGTGTATCTATGTGGGATTTGTTTGACAGCTGTACTAATTGATGGGACTTCAGCGCTTAATTGAAAGAGCCTGCAGCTGTATTTCCTGCAAAGAGTGCATCACTCCAGTTCCACTGGTTTTCCTTTACTCTGGCAATTAATTGATATCCTTGATTGGGTTGTCACTAGTTACGACAGCCACAAAGGCTATATCGTAAAAATGCATGATTTTTAGTTTTTTGGTCTTACTTTAAGGTTAGGATTAGGCATAAGGTTAGCAGTGTGGTTATGGTTAGGTTTAAAATCAGATTTTTATGAATAGAAATTGTAGAAATAGGCGGGGTTTAGCCATAATTATGAATCTGTGGCTGTGGTAACTAGTGTCGACCCCTTGATTGGCCAGAGATTCCACAGAACTGGTTATTGTGATGTATCTAAGGTTTAACCAGTATATAACTAAAATTCTTGATTACTGTAAAATGCAAGGACAGAAACCAGTATACATTGTGGCCCTCAAGGACCGGTGTTGACACAAGTTAATGTTCCTTGAATCCAACCACACAATCACAAGAACTCAATCATGAAAGATCAGAATATTTTGCTTTGTTATGTGTGATTTTATTCATATTTTTCAATTTCAGACAAAGGCACAATCAAATTAAAGGTGAGAGCAACGTCATTGTGTTTAACAGCATTTCTATCTATCGTTTGTTAATAGTTTTTTTAAATCTTTGTTGTGTAGTGTTATGAATAAAAACATAATTGTTGTTTCAAGAGTGTAAAATGGTTGTGGCTCCAGCTGCACAGTAGTGAGATCCCAGTCAGTTTGTCCATATTCCACAGATGACATGCAAAACAACACTAACATCATTTGTATGTGAACATCTGCCTTTTTGCACATTCATTTGGAATAAGGTAACAGCCTCAATATAATATGCAACAGCTGTTGATGTGCATGTATGGGTCTGCAGCCCCCAAAGGCTGGAATGGATCAATCCAACATGCACAACTTGATTCCTCCCCTCCCTCTAACCCCCACCCCTGTCTTTATCAAATATAGTATTGTATTGTCCACTGTGGTCGCTATGCACTTCTGCATCTGGTTTGCCACTGGTCTTTGTGGTTTTGTGTTAGGTACCGCATCCTGAAGATATGTGTCCTTCCTGGTTTCAGGTCCCTCCTGGTCTGAGAGGTCAGGCCCAGTTAAAGGTGTGGGGGAATCGCCAAATCACTGAGGGGGGATATATCTTCCACAACTACACCACTGTCACTGTGGACAGCAAGGGCACAGCCGTCTTCATCCAGACGGATAAGCCAGTCTACAAGCCCAAACACAAAGGTCTCAGCCTTCCAGGCCCTTCAGTAGCAGTCATTGACCTAATCATAAACTTCTACAGTAGATAGATTTATTCATAGGCCATTGTGTGTTGTAAGAAGCCAGTCTTAATAGCAGCCCAGGAGAAAAGCTCATGACATGGATTGTTTATTGCACTCTACATTAGAAATGCATTGAAATGGGTAATAATCTGTGCCTCTCTCAATCCAGTGCTCATCAACGTGTACTCTGTCACTCCGGATCTGAGGCCGGCCAATGACAAGGTAATGCACCCAGTCTCCACATCAAAGCCAAGACATCACACCCATTTACAGGAAATGAATGGGATATGAAATATGAGAATCAGGTGTGTTGACCTAATGTGTATCAGTGGGCCTTGATTCCAAGCAGCTGGCCTCCTCTCCTTTGATGTGTAACGGCTTCAAATGAAGGGTGGCAAGCTAGTTTTTACAAACCTATTTTTCCAACATCCCGTCAGAGGGTAATGAAGTGGGGGGAAACCTGGCCTGAGCCTGAATGCACACTAAATGTACAGTAACCTATTTACCTCCACAAACCTTGTCATTTCTGCTTGAATGTTTAGAAATGGCTCCAAATATATAGTTGCCGCTGTGTAGACAGTGTGTTTATTGATGGCTGGAGCTATAAAGGTCTGCTGCTGGCAAAGGCTAACGCTCTCACTCACAGATGGATGATTGTTGGAGAGGGGGGAGGAGGTGGATATATTTTGCCATGTGGCTGTGCAGTTTGCAGTTTGTCTAATATGTGTGCTGTCCTTGACTCATTTTTTTACTCTTCTTCTTCCCATGGTTGCAGATTGAGGCCTACGTTGTGGTAAGTGGAGGGAGAGGGACCACCCGGGCCTAGAGGGAGGGCAACGGGACACTGGGGGTTTAGTTTACCAACCCCAGGCAGGAGATTACAGGGCAGGGAAGAACTCACTTTGATAACAGGCCTGGGCTCTGAGCTCCAGCCTGGCCCCTACAGCAGGCCCAGCTAATGCTGCACATGAAAGGAACCGCTCTCGCTGCCTCAGCTGCTCTCTCCTGCTGTTACTAACTCCTCAATCCCTCCCTCCCTCTGTCTCCCCCTCTCCCTCTCTCTGTCTGTCACTTCCTCTCTCCTCCCCTCTCTCTTCTCCCTCTCCTTCTGTCCCTCTCACATCCTCTTGTGCTCTGTCTGCGGTATCTTTGCAGGGCAAATATGCTGCTTGGTGTTAAGATGCCAGAGGAAGCTGTGTAAACGAGCTCAGCTCAGTGACTAAGAAACTGTGTAGCTGTTTGTGTTATTCTGTCACCTGCAGCCTGCAGTCCCGTGGCCCTCTTGGTCAGGGAAGTGTCTATGAGAGTGGCTGTAATTAACTGATTGACAGACATTAGTGTTAGTCTTTCCCCTTGAGTCAGAGCCAGGTCAGTGTATGTAAGAAGTAGCTTACTGTAGGATATGGAGTCTAGACATCACGCAGGGGTTACCCCCAATATATTTATTTATTTATTTGCACAACCCTTACATAACTTCACTCATGAGTACTTATGTAAGTTCACAGCTTTCATGTCGGGAGAAACAGAGTGATGCGTGTTTTGATGAAAGTAGAATCTCTTGATCAACTGTGTATTCATACTTTGGATTGCAGGACCCAAGAGGATCTCGGATGGTCCAGTGGAAAGGGCTTAAACCCCTCTGCTGTGGTGAGAAACTCCCTATGTTATCATTATCATCACCTACTGTGTAGTGACTGCTGTAGCTCATGTGGCGTTGATCGTTTTTTGACCACTGCTTCTCTCCTCAGGGGTCGTCAACATGAGTTTCCCTCTCTCAGACCAGCCCGTATTTGGAGAGTGGTTCATCTTTGTAGAGATGCAGGGGCACACCTACAACAAGTCATTTGAAGTGCAGAAGTATGGTGAGTTGCTACTTGCTACCATTGATCAAATCAAACAACATTTTATTTGTCGCATGCGCCGAATACAACAGGTGTAGACTCTTTCCCAACAATTCAGAGTTTAAAAGTATGCGTATTTTTTTCTCTCGCAAATAACAAGAGAAAAAAGGAAATAGTAACAGAATAAAATAACAATAGCGACGCTGTATACAAGGAGTACCAGTACTGAGTCAATGTGTAGAGGTACGAGGTAGTTGAGGTAATATGTACATGTAGGTAGGGGTAAAAGTGACTAGGCAATCAGGATAGATAATAAACAGAATAGCAGCAGCAGCGTGTGTCTATGTGTGAGTGTGTGTGTGGCGTCAATATGCATGTGTGTGTTTTGTGTGTGTGAGCGAATGTAGTGTGTGTGTGTGTTGGAGTGTCAGTGTAGAATGTGTGTGGGTAGAGTCCAGTGAGTGTGGGTAGTGTCCAGTGAGAATGACAGTACCCAATGCAAATAGTCCGGGTAGCCATTTGATTAACTGTTCAGCAGTCTTACGGCTTGGGGGTAGAGGCTGTTCAGGAGCCTTTTGGTCCCAGACTTGGAGCTCCGGTACCGCTTGCCGTGTGGTAGCAGAGAGAACAGTCTATGGCTTGGATGGCTGAAGTCTTTGACAATTTTTAGGGCCTTCCTCTGACACCGCCTGCTATAGAGGTGGATGTCTGGGAGCTCGGCCCCAGTGATGTACTGGGCCGTACGCACTACCCTCTGTAACGCCTTGCGGTCAGATGCCAAGCAGTTACCATACATAAGCGGTGATGCAGCCAGTCAAGATGCTCTCAATGTTGCAGCTGTAGAACCTTTTGAGAATCTGAGGGCCCATACCAAATATTTTCTGCCTCCTCAGGGGGAAGAGGTGTTGTCGTGCCCTCTTCACAACTGTGTTGGTGTGTTTGGCCAATGATAGGTCCTTAGTGATGTAGACACTGAGGAACTTGAAGCTCTCGACCCGCTCCACTACAGCCCTGTCGATGTGAATGGGGGCGTGCTCGGCCCTTGGTTTCCTGTAGTCCATGATCAGCCCCTTTGTCTTGCTGACGTTGAGGGAGAGGTTGTTGTCCTGGCACCACACTGCCAGGTCTCTGACCTCCTCCCTGTAGGCTGTCTCATTGTTGTCGGTGATCAGGCCTACCACCGTCGTGTCATTGGCAAACTTAATGATGGTGTTGGTCGTGCGCGGCAACGCTGTCATGGGTGAACAGGGAGTACAGGAAGGGACTAAGCATGCACCCCCGAGCGGCCCACATGTTGAGGGTCAGCGTGGTGGATGTGTTGTTGCCTACCCTAGCCACCGACCCGTCAGGAAGTCCAGGATCCAGTTGCAGAAGGAGGTGTTTAATCCCAGGGTCTTTAGCTTAGTGATGAGCTTGGAGGGCGCTATGGTGTTGAACGCTGAGCTGTAGTTAATGAACAGCATTCTCACGCAGGTGTTCCTTTTGTCCAGGTGGAAAAGTGGAGTACAATAGAGATTGTGACATCTGTGGGTCTGTTGGGGTGTTATGCGAATTGGAGTGGGTCCAGGGTGTCTGGGATGATGGTGTTGATCTGCAACTTTTAAAGCATTTCATGGCTACAGATGTGAGTGCTACGGGGCGATAGTCATTTAGACAGGTTACCTTGGCGTTCTTGGGTACAGGGACTATGATGGTCTGCTTGAAACATGTAGGTATTACAGACTGGGTCAGGGAGAGGTTGAAAATGTCAGTGAAGACACTTGCCAGCTGGTCAGCGCATGTTCTGAGTACGCATCTTGGTAATCCGTCTGCCGCCCTGCGGCCTTGTGAATGTTAACCTGTTTAAAGGTCTTAGTCACATCGGCTACGGAGAGCATGATCACACAGTCGTCTGGAACAGCTAGTGCTCTCATGCATAGTTCAGTTTTACTTTCCTCGAAGTGAGCATAGAAGGTGCACTACATGACCAAAAGTATGTGGACACCTGCTTGTCCAAAATCATGGGCATTAATATGGAGTTGGCCCCCCCTTTGCTGCTATAACAGCCTCCACTCTTCTGGGAAGGCTTTCCACTAGATGTTGGAACATTGCTGCGGGGACTTGCTTCCATTCAGCCACGAGCATAAGTGAGGTCGGGCACTGATGTTGGGCGATTAGGCCTGGCTCGCAGTCGGCGTTCCAATTAATCCCAAAGGTGTTTGATGGGGTTGAGGTCAGGGCTCTGTGCATGCCAGTCAAGTTCTTCCACACCGATCTCGACAAACCATTTCTGTATGGACCTCACTTTGTGCATGGGGGCATTGTCATGTTGAAACAGGAAAGGGCCTTCCCCAAACTGTTGCCACAAAGTTGGAAGCACAGAATCGTCTACCTCTCCCTCTACTCCACACAGTGATGCCCAAGTTTGAGCTGGTGATAGACCCTCCACGGTACATCCGGGACCTCAACACATGTGAACAGGCCACTGTGAAGGCCAGGTGAGTGACTGACTCACAGCATTCACCTCATCCTAACATGGTCAATGTGATGCCCTAACACATACTGTTCTTTGAGCATTAGAGAGGCAAAGTAGCACCTCTACTCCTGTTTGAACACAAACTACTTTTCTGTCTTTAGGTATACCTTTGGGAAGCCAGTGACCGGGAAGATGACACTGAACATGACTGTGAATGGAGTTGGGTACTACCGACATGAGGTGGGCCATCCTGTGGTCAAGACCATGGAGGTGAGTCAACCCAGCTGTAGTGTTGAAGAATCTGAAACAGGAAAATGGAATCACATTCAAATCTGCTGAGTTTCCCCCTTTTAGGATTAAATTCAGATATTGAAGTCTGTCTGTTTCCTCCCCTATGATTAGATCAAAGGCTCAGCGACCTTCAGCCTGTGTGTCAAAGACATGATGCCCCTGGACGTGGCTGATCACTTCCGGGGCACGGTGAGCATGTGGGTGTCAGTGACCAGCGTGGACGGAGGGCGGCAGACCATGTTCGATGATTCCACCCCAGTTCACAAGCAGCGTATCGACATAAAATACTCAAAGGACACTCGTAAACAGTTCAAGCCTGGTCTGCCATACAAGGGAAAGGTAAGAGACAGCCAAAGGTATTCATACCACTGACTTCACATGGCCTCTATCAAGGGAAGCTGGACTGTACAAGACTTGGGTTCACTTATGCGTCTCCATGCGAGAGACTTGACTGTCTGTCCCCCCTGTCTTTCTGTCCACCAGGTAGAGGTAACCTATCCTGATGGTAGCCCAGCGGATGGGGTGCGGGTGCGTGTGAAGGCGGAGCTGACCCCTAAGGACAATGTGTACACCAGCGAACTGACGTCCAGGGACGGCCAGGCCACGTTCGAGATCCCCTCCATCCCCACTGCTGCCCAATACGTCTGGCTGGAGGTCAGTAGGCCGTGGAGGTGGAGAGTTAGAGCGAGAGAGAGGTGTAAATGAACATGGTTAGGGCTTAGTTAGCTTCTCATAAGAGCTATTCATAAAACCGAGCCAGCCAGCTAGCTAGCTGGAGAGTTGGTTATGGTTTGCGAGAATAGAGCTTTGTGAAATGAAGATACAGTAAAAGGTCCTTGCACTTGGCAAAATAAATAACCATTAAAATGTTTGTAAATGGGTGCTAGTCAACAAAGTTGAACAATTTATCAGATAAGCTTAGTGGGCTGAGGCTGTTAGGCGCTATCAGGATTTTGCTTGATAGGATTTAGCTTGATGTCGTAGTCCAGAGAGTGGAGTGTATTGGTGGGTTAAATCCTGTGGTGTTGTGCCCCAGACCAAGGTGACAGCCATAGATGGCCGTCCGGCTGGAGACCAGTACCTCCCCAGCTACCTGTCCATCAGCAGCTGGTACTCCCCCAGCAAGTGTCACATCCAGATCCAGAGCCTCAGTGCTCCTCTCAAGGTAGGCACTCCACTCACTCTGCTATCATTACTTTACTATCCACTCTGCTATCATTACTTTACTATCCACTCTACTATCATTACTTTACTATCCACTCTACTATCATTACTTTACTATCCACTCTGTTATCATTACTTTACTATCCACTATACTATCATTACTTTACTATCCACTCTGCTATCATTACTTTACTATCCACTCTACTATCATTACTTTACTATCCACTCTACTATCATTACTTTACTATCCACTCTACTATCATTACTTTACTATTCACTCTACTATCATTACTTTACTATCCACTCCACTCACTCTGCTATCATTACTCTACTATCATTACTTTACCATCCACTTTACCCCACTCTACTATCATTACTCTACTATCATTACTCTACTATCATTACTTTACCATCCACTTTACCTACCCCACTCTACTATCATTACTTTACCATCCACTTTACCCCACTCTACTATCATTACTTTACCATCCACTTTACTAGCATTATACATAATCAGGTCTCCAACACCATCATTGAAACATTGGACACATATCATATATGGATTGTATGTAAAGAGTAATAACAGAGTACTACTTATACTATTATAATCATTATGATGTCCATAGAGTAAAGGTTTATTCTGAATGGTGTGTTTGTCTGTGTGTTTAGATCGGTGAGGAGGCTGAGGTCACTTTGAAGTCCACCTGTCCCTGTAACTTCACCCTCCACTATGAGATTGCCTCCAGAGGGAACATCGTCCAGTCTGGCCAGCAGCAGCCCAACGCTACAGCCCACAGAAGCAAGAGGGCAGCGGTCACTTTCGACAAGAACGTCCACACAACCCAGCCGCCCAGTGGCTCTGGTCAGTATTAGAGTCCCAGATGAGAAGTCTATTTTGTTCCATAATGAAGAGCAGAGAATTTTGACCAATTGGCACCATGTTTGCACCAAATGTCCAATACATTCTGCTAAGAAAACATAGAGGATAGTTTGTCAAACTCTGTACATATATGGCTCTGAATCACCCCTCTCTGTCTCTTCCCCCGCCTCTCCAGATCCGGCAGCCTCCTCCCCACAGGACGAGACAGACAGCTGTATGTCGGTGCTGCGTTTCCCGGTGACCCACGCCATGGCGCCCCTCAGCCGCCTCCTGGTCTACTACGTGAGGGAGAACAGAGAGGGCGTCACTGACAGTCTACAGATCCCTGTACAGCCCAGCTTTGAGAACCAGGTACCGTAACAAGACCTCCACGTCTCTCTGAGTCCTTGCATCCCTCACTGTGCACTGCACACACTCCTGCCTGTACACACAGTCCTGCCTGTACACCCAGTCCTACCTGTACACCTAGTCCTCCCTGTACACACATTCCTCCCTGTACACCTAGTCCTCCCTGTACACACATTCCTCCCTGTACACCCAGTCCTCCCTGTACACCTAGTCCTCCCTGTACACACATTCCTCCCTGTACACCCAGTCCTCCCTGTACACCTAGTCCTCCCTGTACACACATTCCTCCCTGTACACCCAGTCCTCCCTGTACACCTAGTCCTCCCTGTACACACATTCCTCCCTGTACACCCAGTCCTCCCTGTACACCCAGTCCTCCCTGTACACCCAGTCCTCCCTGTACACCCAGTCCTCCCTGTACACCCAGTCCACCCTGTACACACAGTCCACCCTGTACACACAGTCCTCCCTGTACACACAGTCCTCCCTGTACACACAGTCCTCCCTGTACACACAGTCCTCCCTGTACACACAGTCCCTGTCAGAATGATAGGTAGGTCTATCATGGTTGCCAGTCTGCCTAACCCTAACCCCAACTCATGCCAGACAACAAAGGAGTTGGCTAAAGCAGAAACACACTGGCAACCAGACCACGTTCAGTTTGGGATGATTCTTGTGCAGGCTTCCAGTTGACTTGAGTACCATAGTTGACTGAAGTCCCATGCTATACTACAGTGGGATCCCCAGTGCCAGTGAGTCCCTGTAAACAACCAGCTGGGTTGGCCCATGAGCTCCCCAGTTGCTGGCTGCATTAGGCGGGGTGTGTTAAGTCCTTCCCTGGAGTTTTTACTGCTTCCTGGAATGCAATCAGTGAGGTAGGGGGAGGTAGTTGTGTGTGTGGCTACCTGCATGGACATGATGAGACAGAGACTGTGTGTGTGTGTGTGTGTGTGTGTGTGTGTGTGTGTGTGTGTGTGTGTGTGTGTGTGTGTGTGTGTGTGTGTGTGGAGCTGAGTGGGGTCATGACAGGCAGGATGATGAGGGGTTAGGTTTGGAGCTGAAAAAAGGAGGCCAGTGGAACACATTAACAGGGCTAAATTGGGCTTGTGTGTGAAAACCGGTTTGGGGTGTGAAAGTTTAGGGCTGTTCTGTCTTCAGGCCCTGCGTTTAACTGTTGACTCCTGACCATAAATACATCATGGCTTCAGCTACGGTTCTCACAGGAGCGCTCACAGTTCAGTTGAAAGGCTCTGTGGATGATGTCCCCAATCAAACCTGATTCATCTTGAGTTTGAGTTTGCAATAACGGCATTTCACTGTACTTGTGCATGTGATATTAAAACTTGTAACTTGATCTGTATATTTTCTGTGTCACCTATTTTCTGTAGGTGTCTGTCTCTCTGTCCACCAATGAGTCGATGCCAGGTGACCCTATCAGTCTGCGTGTCAGTGGTGAGAAGGGCTCCTGCGTGTGTGTCGCCACCGTGGACAAGAGCCTCTATCTTCTCAAGCCAGACTTCCAACTCAGTCCAGACAAGGTCTGTCTCCCTCCATCTTACCTTGTTTCTAATCTATAGTACCACTAATCTATATTCGGACAGGAAATGAATGTAAGCCATCCATGTCCACTGTTCGTTCTGTAGGTGTTTAAAGAACTGGCTGAATTTGACGTGTCCGATGCCTTCGGAGTCCCCAAAGACGACGGGCATTTCTGGTGGCCGGGGCTGTCGTCTAGGCGACGGAGGCGTTCTTCAGTGTTCCCATGGCACTGGGACATCACTAAAGATGCCCGCTTCGCCTTCACGGTGAGGACAATACTCCGTCACCAATCAATCACCTGACGTGGCATAAGATCTTCAGTGTAGATCGTTTTACAATGTGTGTCTGTGTAACAGGAGACTGGGCTGGTGGTGATGACTGACATGGTGAGCCTGAACCACAGACAGAGGGGAGGGATGTACACAGACGAGGCCGTTCCTGCCTTCCAGCCTCACACATCCACACTGGTGGCAGCCATGCACTCTCGCACCATGCCCAGGTAGCTACAGGCACAGAGCCAGGTTTCTGCCCACTGAAGCTAGCCACTGTGCCCCACTAGTATCTGAAATGGACCTATAACTTTAATCCTCGAGATAAACATTATACACATGGTATGCCTTAACAAATGTCAGCAAGGATTTAGAGACAATCCATTGTCCAATTACGGATTATTGCATCCAGATCCATAATGGAAGGCCTTTATTGATGTCAGGTTGTGTTGTGTTTTGGTTGCAGAGCAGAGAAGCGCAGACGGACATTCTTCCCGGAGACGTGGGTGTGGCATTGCGTCAATGTCAGGTACTGGAATACCTACATCATCTGTGTGTGTTTTCGCGCTTGTGTGTGTGTGTGTGTGTGTGTGTGTGTGTGTGTGTTTGAGTGAGTGGGTGGAGATGGTCTCAGCTGCATCAGATTGTGGGGATTTGGTGGCGTTCCAGATCTGTAAGCATGGAAGATGGAGGAGTGGGTGGGGTAGGAGGAATAAGGGAGCACATATTTGAGAGGGGGATATTTCACCACTCGTTGACTGTCCAGCATTTTCTCCCAGTGGGTGTGAATGTGGCTCATTTAAGCAGGGTTGTCTTGGAACACGCACCGGCTTTCTCAACAGCTCCTTCCATTCATTTCCAGCCAATATAAATTAACTGGCCATATGTTTCCATATGCTTGATTCCTTTGGGCAGAGTTGTGTTCTGCCTAATTTCCTATTCAATCCAAAGCTTTGATTTCACTTATTGAGTGTATCAAAGTAGTTTTTGGGTGACTTTCATCAAAAGGAAGGGCGTTAGTAATTTCCGAAAACGTTTATTATGCTCTGTGAAGCCGGCCAAAACCAACGTCAGAACGAGTAGCCAACAATGATCTCACCCATCTATACCGAACACCTACCTGCCTGTGTTTAAACCTATGTAGTGCTATGGGCAGAATATTACTTAGTTACAGCTGTTCCCCTAATAAGACACATACTGAATTAGATCAATCCCATTCATCCCATAATGTTCTTGTTCCAAACATTGGTCTGAAACACTATTTACTATGGGGTCATGGTTAGAGAACATTGCTTTGTTGGAATCGTGCATTAGCTTCTGTGTTTCAGTTTTTCCACAAAATCTATTTTGACAGTGATGTCACTGGGGAAGCTGAGTTGCTATTGGACGTTCCAGACTCCATTACCACCTGGGTGACGGAGGCCATTGGCTTGTCAGAGGAGAAGGGGTTGGGCCTTGCCAAGAGGGTGGAGCTTCGTACCTTCAAGCCCTTCTTCGTAGACTTCACCCTCCCCTACAGTGTGATACGTGGGGAGCAGACCAAAGTACCGCTGACCGTTTACAACTACCTGTCTAGCTGCACAGAGGTGAGGGGGTGAGGAAAGGGGCGGACAGGGGGAGCAATTCTAAACCATGACGATCAAATATAAATATTTACGCTCGGAGCAGAGCAATCCAGTCCTAACATGACCATAAGTGTGTCCATCCTCCAGTTAACAGAGATGACATCATGGTGTTGGCAGATGAGCCTGTTAAAGGGCTGTGCGTGCTGCGCTTTAATGTCATGTTAGGTGATTATGCAGGCCAATGGAGCCCTCCCTTTGATGTCTGCCTGAACATGTGATTCTTATATTTCCTGGAAAGTTATTTACGACTTGTGGCGTGTGGATAAAGAACAGTGAAACGATCTGACTGCATTACCAAGTCCTCTGTGAAATTTGGACAATGAGTAGAACTTAATCCTTCAGGGAGCCTGAGAGCAATGAGTCAGTCTGCATGGAAAATGTGCAATGTGATTCAGAAATTCCCCAAAATCCTTTAAGAGCTTTGAGGAGGTCACACTGCATGAAAGAACGGAGTGCAGAGCAGATATGATGTAATCATGTCCTGTCAGAAGAAATCCATCTCTGTTGTGTTAACACAGGACCTTCGTGTGTGTTTGTGTGTGTGTATGTCTCTCTCTCTCTCGGTCTTACTCAGGTCCATGTCAAAGTCACCGTTCCCAAAGGCATCAAGTTTGTGGGCCACCCTGGAAAGCATCACCTGACCAGAAAGAAGTGTGTGGCTCCTGGAGAAGCCACACCCACATCCATAGTGTTGTCCTTCACTGAGCTGGGTGCTGCCAACATCACAGGTTATTCCAGCTAGTTACTGGGGAACCCCCGGGGAAGAGTTCCAAGTTGTCTCATAGTTCTTAAAGTTCCTGAAATCCTCAACGTTTTCTGATGTTTTAGGCGTATTGCTAATAGCTCTTGAAGTTTTGGTTTTTAATTCTAGGATATTGCAGGTTGGTATGGTACACTGCCCTGTTGTTCCATGGTGTAGGAGTAGCATCTGCTTTTTGGCTCTCCTATCCAGCCGTCCCTAAGTCCATGAGGCCTTTATAGTCTGTACTGTATGTCCAAGAGGTTCCATGCTGCTAAAAGACCTGATGCGTATGTGATTTGGTCATCCAGCGATACAAACAGTCCCCTCAAAAGTACATCTGGGAACAAAGTGGGCCACCAGCAGGGGAGCAGCCGGGGCCTTGCACTGACACTCAGTGGCATCTTGATGAGTTTTCAGGTCACTGGCGGTCAATGGGCCCCCCGCGGCTATGTCCCCTGGCCCCTAGTCTTTCCCTCTCACTACACACACACAAAGAGAACACATTGGCTCACAGCCACGACTCCAATGTACTCCTCTGCAAAGGGAACTACATGTTCTTTGACAAACATGTTTTGTGTTGTGCAGCGTGAGATTGTGTTGTTGATAGATGTGATGTGTGTTTACAGAACTATTGGTGGTTTTATATGTACTTTAAAAAACATATTCTTGAAATAGCATTCTTAACAGTATACTCTCTAGGTTGCTGCTTGTTCAATGTATTTTATACAGTGAGTTTGTACTTGAAATCTATTAAATAAAAGTCCTGCTTAATGGGAACTTACAAGCAAATAAAAACAATGCTGATATATGGTGAAGTGAAGTGTATCTCTGTTTTTTCTGCCATAGCGCGGGCCATTGCATATAGTGAACCGGGCTGCTGCTCAGATGGACTCCAGTCAATGAAAACAGGCAAAAACACAGATGACCTAGAGGATCGGAGGACCCCCACTGGCCTTGACTATGTCCGGAGGAGTGTCCTGGTGGAGGTATGAGAAATGGGAGAGAGACTGCCTAGGGAGAGAGCTGAGATGGGGAGCAGATGCTTGCTGTATTTTGTACTGTCATTAGTAGAGTGATGTCAGCTCTAACATGTTTCTCTCTTTCTCCCCCCTACAGCCAGAGGGCCTGCCCAGACATTACACCTACAGTGTCTTCTTCTGCCCCAACGGTCAGTATATACTTATATGTTGTATTATAGTACTGCACAGGTATAAGAGCAAATACATTTTGAGTGTTACCTAATACCGGTCTGCCTCAATACAGTCTGATTTATTTTCCTTAATCTGACATTTCCATTTTCAGAGCGGATCCACATCTCTACACCCAACAAGTATGAGTACCAGTACGTGAAGAAGCCGGCCAAGATGACCCACTTTGAGGTGGCAGTGAAGACCCACAACGACGCCCACTTTGCCCTTTCACCCAGTCCCCATGACAGTGCTGAGATGCTGGAGATTGTGCTGGGGGGCAGACAGAACACCGGCTCCTGGATCTCCCTGGGCAAGATGGGCGAGCCAGTGGTCAGCGCCCCCACTCCGGGCATCCTCTCCTGGGATGAGTTCCGCAGTTTCTGGGTCAGCTGGAAGGGTGGTGTGGTACAGGTAAGAGGAGGAGGATGGGCAAACCTAGTTCTCTTTTGGGTTTTGGAGCATCTATTCTACATAATGAGTTCTGGGATTTGTGTCGTCTTATGAATCCTATACAGATCCACTGTGGCATCTTCAACATAGAGCCCCAGTCAATAAGTCAGTCAGTCAGTCAGGGCATGAGGTAGAGTATAGTAGTGAGTTGGGGTAGTGACTGAGAGTTAAACAGGGAGCATTAGACTGGGCAGGCACAGGGGGCTGTGTAGTCAAGAGGACTGGCGCCACTTTTAATGACATGCCTGTGAGGTCACGCTTAACTGGCTGATGTCAGCGAGGACACTCAGTGATCCGTGGCGTCCGCATGGCGCTGCCTGGCACACAGGCCTGAACCCTGCATTAGCCTCGCACCATTCACCAAAGGGAGCAATTAAAAGCCTGCTCTAGAACCCAGTATGGCCCAATAAGATTCATTTATTTTTCTAGTGACTGATTGCATTTTGGTTTGATGAGCCATGTTTAGCTCTGCATGGTCTTTGGTTTAATGTGATTACAAAATGCCTAGAAATACCCAGGGGGAAATCTGTTCATTTGCAACCACGGATCGAGTGGATGTTGAATAAATTTGATGAAGACTGCTCTTGCCAACTCTTGGTAATGGACTTTATGTGTGCCTCGGATTTCTACATGCAAAATCAACCCAAACAGCTCTTTAAGTAGAATCGTATTGTGTTCTAGTATTTTCCTATTGACTTTAAGTCACAAGGTCTTCCTCTGTACAGCATGAGCGAACACCTTTTTCGACCATTTTCTCATTAGATCAGTCTTCTGATCAGTGTGAAATTCAGGACCACATTTATATCGTATCAGGCTTTTATTGGAACCTGGCAAAACCCAAGGCACATTCTTTATTTTTTTTGTAATCTTTTATTTTACTTTTTTTGACAATAAACAAAAAACATACATAGAAAAAAACAATAGACAACTTAACATATACAGTGAGGGAAAAAAGTATTTGATCGCCTGCTCGTTTGCCCACTGACATGAATTGATCAGTCTATACTTTTAATGGTAGGTTTATTTGAAAAATGAGAGACAGAATAACAACAAAAAAATCCAGAAAAACGCATGTCAAAAATGTTATATATTGATTTGCATTTTAATGAGGTAAATAAGTATTTGACCCCCTCTCAATCAGAAAGATTTCTGGCTCCCAGGTGTCTTTTATACAGGTAATGAGCTGAGATTAGGAGCACACTCTTAAAGGGACTGCTCCTAATCTCAGTTTGTTACCTGTATAAAAGACACCTGTCCACAGAAGCAATCAATCAATCAGATTCCAAACTCTCCACAATGGCCAAGACCAAAGAGCTCTCCAAGGATGTCAGGGACAAGATTGTAGACCTACACAAGGCTGGAATGGGCTACAAGACCATCGCCAAGCAGCTTGGTGAGAAGGTGACAACAGTTGGTGCGATTATTCGCAAATGGAAGAAACACAAAATAAATGTCAATCTCCCTCGGCCTGGGGCTCCATGCAATGGATCATGAGAACGGTGAGGAATCAGCCCAGAACTACACGGGAAGATCTTGTCAATGATCTCAAGGCAGCTGGGACCATAGTCACCAAGAAAACAATTGGTAACACACTACGCCGTGAAGGACTGAAATCCTGCAGCGCCCACAAGGTCCCCCTGCTCAAGAAAGCACATATACAGGCCCATCTGAAGTTTGCCAATGAACAGAACTGAGTGAAAGTGTTGTGGTCAGATGAGACCAAAATGGAGCTCTTTGGCATCAACTCAACTCGCCGTGTTTGGAGGAGGAGGAATGCTGCCTATGACCCCAAGAACACCATACCCACCGTCAAACATGGAGGTGGAAACATTATGCTTTGGGGGCGTTTTTCTGCTAAGGGGACAGGACAACTTCACCACATCAAAGGGACGATGGACGGCGCCATGTACCGTCAAGTCTTGGGTGAGAACCTCCTTCCCTCAGCCAGGGCATTGAAAATGGGTCGTGGATGGGTATTCCAGCATGACAATGACCCAAAACACACAGCCAAGGCAACAAAGGAGTGGCTCAAGAAGAAGCACATTAAGGTCCTGGAGTGGCCTAGCCAGTCTCCAGACCTTAATCCCATAGAAAATCTGTGGAGGGAGCTGAAGGTTCGAGTTGCCAAACATCAGCCTCGAAACCTTAATGACTTGGAGAAGATCTGCAAAGAGAAGTGGAACAAAATCCCTCCTGAGATGTGTGCAAACCTGGTGGCCAACTACAAGAAACGTCTGACCTCTGTGATTGCCAACAAGGGTTTTGCCACCAAGTACTAAGTCATGTTTTGCAGAGGGGTCAAATACTTATTTCCCTCATTAAAATGCAAATCAATTTATAACATTTTTGACATGCATTTTTCTGGATTTTTGTTGTTGTTATTCTGTCTCTCACTGTTCAAATAAACCTACCATTAAAATTATAGACTGATCATGTCTTTGTCAGTGGGCATACGTACAAAATCAGCAGGGGATGAAATACTTTTTTCCCTCAATGTACATGGAAGAATCAAATGCTTTATTATTTAAATATTGAACAAAATCTGGCTACAGACAGAAACAATATAATATATAATACAGTCTGAAGCCATATGGGGCAGAGTCTTACAAGCATTGAAAACAACATTGGGTGTGGATACAGTGGGAATGTGAGTCTGAGCAAGTGTGATGTCATTAATGTTTGTTGAAATGTATGTATGTAAATGTTAAGCACTGCTCATTGTTTTAACTACTATAAATGAGAACGACAAAGTGCTGGGTCTATTTCTCTAACCAGCACTCGAGTTGCCACAGATCTCAAATCACATACCCTACTTCTGATCGTAATTGCAACCATTAGGTCAATGAAAGGCATCTGACCCTGTATCAGTGGTTACGGACAACTTCACCAATTTACTCTAGTCAAAAACCTCTCATATCGATCTCTGATAGGTCGGACATGGCTTGCAGCCATCTAATGAGTCGGTGATCCTGCAGTGGTCCAGCCCCCTCCCTGGACAGGTGCGTCACATTGGTTTCTCCACGGGATGGGGCTCGGTGGGTGAGTTTAAGATCTGGAGGAAGGAGGACTCTGATGAAAACCACAACGAGGCCTTTACACTAGGCGTTCCTCACAATGTGGTGCCTGGCTCTGAGACCGCCACCGCATCCATGATAGGTGAGGAGGGACACTTCTCTTCCACTTCTTTTTCATTATCTGAAGGTCTGCTGCTCCTCTTCACCCACGCACTCTGTATACATCCTATTCACTTTGACATACAGTACCTTGTCCATGTGGTTAATAAGAGTATGCATCGCCAATTTCTCTCTAAATGATATTTGATGATATGGTCATAGTCTATTGTAATACTGTTGATCCTGCAGCTAATCAGTTTTGAAAAAGAGATTGTAACTCAATAAAACAACCTTTATGTGAGGCGGTGTTGCTGATCTGTTTCTGCGCTGTGTTTTGTGATGTCAGGGGACGTGATGGGCCCCACCCTCAACAACCTGGACAAGCTGCTACGGCTGCCCTTCGGCTGTGGGGAGCAGAACATGATCCACTTCGCCCCCAACGTCTTTGTCCTCAAGTACCTGCAGAAGACTAGGCAGCTCAGCCCTGAGGTGGAGGCTGAGGCCACAGACTACCTGCTGCAAGGTAAACCACTGGTTCAAATGGTTCAAGGGCTTTGAGAACTGTCTTGAGATACTTTAGATTTTCCTGCATGTCTCCCATTGAAATCAATGCATGCTCTGAGTTATGAATCAGATCTCAAGTGACCCATAGTGAAGATCACTATACAAAATCAATCCATTACTATCCACTTAGTTCTAAATCCACAGTGTAGACTTTCTTTGATATTCACCTGGTCTAGATAGCATCCACCCACTGATACCCTCTCCCCTGTACCTTCCCAGGGTACCAGAGACAACTGACCTATAAGCGCCAGGATGGATCCTACAGTGCCTTTGGAGAGAGGGACTCCTCTGGGAGCATGTGGTAAGTCCTCTACTCTTAATTTAGAATTACATCCCTCAGTAAGTAATCTAGTCTTCCCTTAGAATTACATCCCTCAGTAAGTCATCTACTCTTCCCTTAGGATTACATCCCTCAGTAAGTCATTTACATTTTAGTCATTTAGCAGACGCTCTTATCCAGAGCGACTTACAGTTAGTGAGTGCATATATTTTCATACTGGACCCACGTGGGAATCGAACCCACAACCCTGGCGTTGCAAACGCCATGCTCTACCAACTGAGCTACACAGGACCTGTCATCTTCTCTTCCCTTAGGATTACATCCCTCAGTAAGTCATCTACTCTTCCCTTAGAATTACATCCCTCAGTAAGTCATCTACTCTTCCCTTGGAATTACATCCCTCAGTAAATCATCTACTCTTCCCTTAGAATTACATCCCTCAGTAAATCATCTACTCTTCCCTTAGAATTACATCCCCAGTAAGTCATCTACTCTTCCCTTAGAATTACATCCCTCAGTAAGTCATCTACTCTTCTCTTAGAATTACATCCCTCAGTATGTCATCTACTCTTCCCTTAGAATTACATCCCACAGTAAGTCATCTTCTCTTCCCTTAGGATTACTTCCCTCAGTAAGTCATCTTCTCTTCCCTTAGGATTACATCCCTCAGTAAGTCATCTTCTCTTCCCTTAGGATTACATCCCTCAGTAAGTCATCTTCTCTTCCCTTAGTATTACATCCCTCAGTAAGTCATCTTCTCTTCCCTTAGGATTACATCCCTCAGTAAGTCATCTTCTCTTCCCTTAGGATTACATCCCTCAGTAAGTCATCTTCTCTTCCCTTAGGATTACATTCCACGTCAGTTCACTCCGTATGGTACATAGATTAAAACTGCATACGGCATCTTCACTTACCCTGGCCTGCGTGTTATTGACAGAAACAATGAAGCTCTTATCAGTAACTTTGTATACACATGGTCAACATTCATACCCTCATAACCCTGTGTTTAATTCGGCTGAGATATACTCGCTGAGTGTTTATTTAATGTTTATACATCCCTGGAGGCAGGCAAGAGGCCACCACCATGTCATAATATTTGGAATAGTGAATATGGAGTGTATGAGAGGCTCCAATGTTCCGCTTGCATATTCGGGCCGCTTGCATACCTTTAGGGTGATTTATTAGTTGATGTGGGTATTGTGATATTTAATATAGCTCAGACGGTGAAACAGTAGGTTAAATATACCCAGGAGAATCAAACACAAACTCATAATTGGTTCCCCCAGGCAGCCATGTGGCTCCAGTGAGTTATTTGCTGTTAAAGCGGGTTAATGCACACAGCACAGAATGGCCCCTGGTTGTTTTGGCCCCATGGGCGAGGCCCCACCTCTGTATGTAGGCTACATTACACCCCCTCCCTCCTCACACCTACACTACCACTGGAGACACAGGAGCTTGCTAGGCTCCAGGCCACTTAAAGGGCAATTCCGCCACTTTTCAACCTCATATTCATTATCTCCAGCACCAAACCATTGTCTACATATGTGGCAATGTAGCATTTCAATGATCTGTGGTGAAAAAGATAAAGGTCCTAAAAAATGCTTCTCTGTGACATCAGAGGATTCAAAGTTTTTTTTAATGTGTTTTTTAAAACCTGCAATGCATTTCTAGCCAGAGGGAGAGTATTTTATTGCTCCCCACGTCACTGCGAATCTCATAGTGTTTGAAAAGCACTGTTTGTGAAATGTTTAAACTTTTGATGGTGGCAGGTAGCCTACTGAATATGAGCATTGGGCCAGTAACCGAAAGGTCTCTGATCCAAATCCCCTAGCCAACTAGGTGAAAAATCTGTCTGTGCCAGTCCTTAATTTGAGCCGCTCAGGATCCGGTACCTCTCATGGCATGAAACATAATTTTCACCGTTTGCAATGTAAAAATCAGAATAAAAGCGATCAAAGTTCATTCGAGTTGCCTCCACTGTAATTGTCCTGCCCCCTAAAAAAAACGTATATTATATTTTAAGAATTGATTGAGTTTGGGCCAGCCCGGGTTTATGATTTGCACAACATGGTAACCTAGATACCAACTCGTGGCAGTTGCTGTGGTGCGAGAGAGAAGCGTGCCTGTAGCCTATCTCTCACAGAACCAGAATGAGATTAACTTTCTATGATGTCTTTCCCTCTCTCTGCTCTGATAGACATGAGCCTGCAACTATCATCTCTCCTGAGTTGTACTTCATCATTTGTTTCCTTAGAATCATAGGGTGCTGGTGGTGCTGCAGCACCTCTGATAAATTGAAATAAATTATACAATAACTGCCGTCTGTTCAGAAATAAATGAAATAATTCAGAATACTACACCAGGACTAGGCCTATAATTTAGTCACAGAGGATCAATAGCTTTAAACAAAACAAAAAAAGTTGTATTGCCTAGCTGTGGATTGTGTGTAGCCCAATTACAAGGCATTGCCTACAGTCAGAAACGCGTGGCAAATCTGTCAGTGAACAGCATTCAGCCAAAACAGGCCTTTCGCAATATTTCAAATACAATCTTGGGATAGCACAGGTTTGAAAGCAAATGGCTCCTGCTGAACAAAAATACTTATCTGTCTGTAGGCTGCAAAAATATTTTATCAACTTCCAAACAGGCCTATTGAGCGAACAGCATTGTTTTTACAAACTAAAATGAGAGAGAGGCTTTTGGCACGAGCGCATCGACCATCGCCGGTGAGTGAGCTGCGCATCATTATGTGAGTCAGGTGAAACTGGAAAGCTTTTTTAGGACTTCCTCATATTGTACAATATGTGTGTCTCCTCCACACACCTAGGCCTAGGCTATTGATGGATTCAAGACAAGGTCGTTTTTAATGATCTCACATTCTCAGTTTGTCAGTGTCAAAGTAGCCTGACATTTCAATCATTTGTGCGGTATAAAAAAAGATTCTGCTAAAGTCTCTAGTCATGTAAAATGCCATAGAATTGCATGAAATTAATTTATAAAAGGCCCAAAAAAATAAAATAAAATGTCTGCTCTAGTCTAGACCACTATGCAAATGTGATGATATGCATGCAATGCTGTACTATAAAGGTGATTTTCCGGTAGCTCAGAGATCCCAGGTCACCCCCCTCTCGCGCTCACTTTTTGTTCCGGCACCTCCCAATTTACAAATTAAGCACTGCTGCCCTTGAGCAAGGCACTTAACCCTAATTGGTCCTGTATGTCGCTCTGGATAAGAGCGTCTGCTAAATGACTAAAATGTAAATGTAATGTCATCGTGTAGAACTTTTTACTTTATCTATTTTTCTACAAAACATAGAAATGCACAATTTTCACATACAGTGGGGGAAAAAAGTATTTAGTCAGCCACCAATTGTGCAAGTTCTCCCACTTAAAAAGATGAGAGAGGCCTGTAATTTTCATCATAGGTACACGTCAACTATGACAGACAAAATGAGAAAAGAAAATCCAGAAAATCACATTGTAGGATTTTTTATGAATTTATTTGCAAATGATGGTGGAAAATAAGTATTTGGTCAATAACAAAAGTTTCTCAATACTTTGTTATATACCCTTTGTTGGCAATGACACAGGTCAAACGTTTTCTGTAAGTCTTCACAAGGTTTTCACACACTGTTGCTGGTATTTTGGCCCATTCCTCCATGCAGATCTCCTCTAGAGCAGTGATGTTTTGGGGCTGTCGCTGGGCAACACGGACTTTCAACTCCCTCCAAAGATTTTCTATGGGGTTGAGATCTGGAGACTGGCTAGGCCACTCCAGGACCTTGAAATGCTTCTTACGAAGCCACTCCTTCGTTGCCCGGGCGGTGTGTTTGGGATCATTGTCATGCTGAAAGACCCAGCCACGTTTCATCTTCAATGCCCTTGCTGATGGAAGGAGGTTTTCACTCAAAATCTCACGATACATGGCCCCATTCATTCTTTCCTTTACACGGATCAGTCGTCCTGGTCCCTTTGCAGAAAAACAGCCCCAAAGCATGATGTTTCCACCCCCATGCTTCACAGTAGGTATGGTGTTCTTTGGATGCAACTCAGCATTCTTTGTCCTCCAAACACGACAAGTTGAGTTTTTACCAAAAAGTTATATTTTGGTTTCATCTGACCATATGACATTCTCCCAATCCTCTTCTGGATCATCCAAATGCACTCTAGCAAACTTCAGACGGGCCTGGACATGTACTGGCTTAAGCAGGGGGACACGTCTGGCACTGCAGGATTTGAGTCCCTGGCGGCGTAGTGTGTTACTGATGGTAGGCTTTGTTACTTTGGTCCCAGCTCTCTGCAGGTCATTCACTAGGTCCCCCCGTGTGGTTCTGGGATTTTTGCTCACCGTTCTTGTGATCATTTTGACCCCACGGGGTGAGATCTTGCGTGGAGCCCCAGATCGAGGGAGATTATCAGTGGTCTTGTATGTCTTCCATTTCCTAATAATTGCTCCCACAGTTGATTTCTTCAAACCAAGCTGCTTACCTATTGCAGATTCAGTCTTCCCAGCCTGGTGCAGGTCTACAATTTTGTTTCTGGTGTCCTTTGACAGCTCTTTGGTCTTGGCCATAGTGGAGTTTGGAGTGTGACTGTTTGAGGTTGTGGACAGGTGTCTTTTATACTGATAACAAGTTCAAACAGGTGCCATTAATACAGGTAACGAGTGGAGGACAGAGGAGCCTCTTAATGAAGAAGTTACAGGTCTGTGAGAGCCAGAAATCTTGCTTGTTTGTAGGTGACCAAATACTTATTTTCCACCATAATTTGCAAATAAATTCATTAAAAATCCTACAATGTGATTTTCTGGAGAAAAAAAATCTCAATTTGTCTGTCATAGTTGACGTGTACCTATGATGAAAATTACAGGCCTCTCTCATCTTTTTAAGTGGGAGAACTTGCACAATTGGTGGCTGACTAAATACTTTTTTCCCCAGTGTATGTATACACTGTTATTGTGCTGGAGGTAATGAAAATGAGGTTGAAAAGTGGTGGAATTGCCCTTTAACGGAAAAAGTGTTGTGCTTTTCGACATGCCCTACAAACTGGAACTTGGGCATGTCTTGTCCAAAGCAATTTAATTACTGCTCCGGTGTAATTAGTAATACCATTAAACTTTTGCATGAAAACCCTTCAAACCTCTGTATGCGGAAAGAGGATATTAAGAAGATATGAAGTGTAACGGTTATAGTAGTGTAGGCGTTGGTTCTGGAGCCATGGGCAACACGGCAGCACCCAGATGTTAAACCTTATGTAAACCTGTAGCAACAAACACTTTTTTAATCCATCAGCTTGGTGCTTATATGTCAGAACAACCCACTTTTTATTTGGGCTCCAGAGTTAATCATTAGCACAGGTCATTTAAGGGCAGGTTAACAGTGCTCTTAATGCAGTGTTAATGTATTCCAGCTTGTAAAAATGTATCTGAGTGGAAATTACAGGGCCTAATGAAAAGATTGTACATAATGACACAGGCTCTGTCCGGTAATACCGGGTCTGGGTGATGCCAAGGCTTTTAGCCCTACTTTGCTCTGGTCTCTGTGGGTTGAACCTTGGGACACAGAGCTAAGGATGAGGATGGGCTGGTTCTCATCACTACCCCCTGCCTGCCTCTCAGGCAGATACAGATGCTCTGTGTGTGTGTGATTGTGATTGTGTGTGTGATTGTGAGTGTTTGTGTGTGTGTCTCTGTGTGTTAAGGGGGGTGGTGTTGGGATATGTCAAGATGCCTTTGCAGGGGTGGGGGTGCTGTGGTGGGCCCTGGACCGGACCTGGCAGCCCCTCTTCCGGCATCGCTCGCATACCTGCCTCCGTCTGGATCCAATGAGAGCCACATGCTGGTGTAATCTGCAGAAACCCCGCCACCACCACCGCCCCTTCAATCCCTGTAGCCTACTTAATACCCTGGCCTGGGGTAAATATGCAGCCTAATGGAAGCTCCATACTCTGGGCCTGTTAGTGGTGCCTGGTTAGATACAGACAGGACATGTTAAGGCTGGCATGAAGTGGAACAGATAGCAGAGAACTAACTAATACTGTGTTGTGTTAAACCATTTATTTCCACTCCAATGCCAAACAGGCATGGTGCGGAACGAGGGTGAATATAGCAGGAATGTGGTGTTTGTATCAAGCCAGATCTTAGATAACTGGGTGCTTGGTTGATAGATGTTTACATGTTGAATGGTTGTTATCGCTTTGTGCTTGGACGTGGTAACCCCTTCTCTTCCATTTACATATTACAGACACTCTTATCCAGAGCGACTTACAGTTAGTGAGTGCATACATTATTTTGTAATTATATATATTTTTTTTTCATACTGGCCCCCCGTGGGAAACAAACCCACAACCCTGGCGTTGCAAACGCCATGCTCTACCAACTGAGCTACATCCCTGCCGGCCATTCCCTCCCCTACCCTGGACGACGCTGGGCCAATTGTGCGCCGCCCCATGGGTCTCCCGGTCGAGGCCGGCTACGACAGAGCCTGGATTCGAACCAGGATCTCTAGTGGCACAGCTAGCACTGCGATGCAGTGCCTTAGACCACTGCGCCACTCTCACACACACTGCTATTAAAGCCCTGGTGTGTGTCCATATAGTTTTACCACAAACAGAGCACTCTATCATTCATCCAAACTAAAACTGACTGCAGAAACAACTGGAAGAGAACCAGGGCCATCTGTTGCCTTTAAGACTTTGAGGAACCGGAACGATACATTTGTATCTATCTTTACTTTGAAGATTTAACATCTTCTGTTTGGACTTCTATAGAAAACCTCTGTCTATTTATGACCAACTTTTTGCAAGTACTACTCAAACAATAAATCCGTTATAAAACCTGCATTAAAATAACCAGTAGCCAGGGAATTTATCATGTTGTGGCGTTGTTAACATGGGACTTATTTGTCAGTAAGTCTTGGTCGTTCCTATAGGCAATTATAAAAACCTTGGTTCCAACTTCTATTGACGTTCCAGGATCCAGCTCCAATGTGCTGTTCTGAATGACCTCTGTGTGCCATCCATAACAACATGTCAACAACTTCCCCAAACTCCAATAAGGGAGTGGAAGCCCGCAGAGATGGAGGGAGGTAGGGAGTGACTTCAGCAGGCCAGTGGAGGAAGCAGCCCGGTCTCTGGCGTTTACTCGCCCACTAAATCATCTTTACGCTACCCAGCACCTCTTCCTGGGGCCTGGCAGTTAAAGCCGGTGACACAATATTACTTAACATTATAAAAATTCCTGCTGGCTTAAGGCTCCATCCCTGCTGCCTCTCTGGGGAGACATAACTTCCAGGGCACAGCAAGGGAAGATTTAATACCGTGGTTTATGGGAGAGATTTTTTTCTTACTCTCTCTTGGCTTGTTCCTTGAGTTACGGCCCAAATGTATGTTTGAGAAAAAAAAAACATGGTTTATTTATTTATTTCCACACTTTTTATGGTAAGCAGCTTGTCTCATCATTTGGCTGCTCTGGGGAGGATGCTGTAATGGAATGGCGGTCTGTAATTAAAGGGCATTGGCCGGAGTGTGCAGTTTTCACGGAGGGCAGTTGTTTATGTATGACCGTGTGTTTATTAGCCTAGACGGGTCCCTCAGCCATCACCATTGGCCTCTCTGTGGGTCTGGGGTCTGATTCCCGCTGTGATTCCAGTTCAGAAACTCCAGGTCACACACTGTTGCTGGACATTAGGAATACCAACCCTGGGGATGGCTGTTTGTAGAAGTTCTGAATGTTTTCGGGATATTTCAGCATGCAGAAAAATACTTGATTTGGCTTTGTGAAAGTCTTCGTTCTTGAGACTAAGAAGCTGCTGGATCCTGTGGTGACAATCAGCATTTTGCCCACTCCTCCTCCATCTTCCCATCTTTCATCTTCATCTGCTCTCCCTCGCTCTGTACCCCCCCATCAGTCTGTCTGTTTTTGCCTGACAGGGTTTTAAAGTAGTTTGATCTTCTCAGCATGATGTGGCATGTAACAGCTGCCATCTCACTCATCCTTGTTTCTGTTTAGAGATTTAAAATATGTGACTGGTTGGGGAATATTTCACCACATTTAAATGGTTTATGTGAACTCTGATGTGAAGTTTGATAAGTATTTTTGAACGATATGTCAGCACATGCTTGAAAGAGACCCAATCCCTCCCTCCCTCCCTCTCTGTCTCTTCCCTTTTTCTCACTCCTCTCCAGGCTGACAGCGTTTGTGTTGAAATCCTTTGCTCAGTCTCGTGGGTTCATCTTCATTGACCCAGAGGAGCTGCGTGCTGCCAAGGCCTGGCTCATCAACCACCAGAGAGAGGAGGGCTCCTTCCCTGCCATGGGACGCATTCTCAACAAAGACTTGCAGGTGCGTGCGTAGGTGTGTGTGTGTGTCTGTATTGTGTAACAGGAGACTGGTCTGGTGGTGATGCCTGACATGGTGACCCAGAACCATAGACAGAGTGGAGGGATGTACACGGACCAGATGTGTGTGTGTCCATAGGCACCATTAACCAGTGTTATTCTCCATGTAAAGGGAGGAATCCATGGAAAGATCTCGTTGACGGCGTACGTGGTTGCAGCCCTACTGGAGACAGGAATATCTACAGAGGTAAGAGGATCAGTGGGGGGGACAGTATTCCTCAAGGGGTGAATCCTAACCTGACATTTATATGTGGATGTAAATCGGACTTTCAGTGAATATTTCAGGCTCAGACCTAATAACAGGCTGTGTGTGTGTGTGTCAGAGAAGGCTAGTGGGAGGAGCTATAGGAGGACAGGCTCATCGTAATGGCTGGAATGGAATAAATGGAACGGAGTAAAACATGTGGTTTCTATATGTTTGATGTGGTTGATACTATTCCTTTCCAGCCAATACAATGAGCCCGTCCTTCTATAGCTCCTCCCACCAGCTTCCTCTGGTGTGTGTGTGTGTATGCGTGCGCGTGCGTAACTGTGTGTTTGCCGGTACATTCCCATCAGCACCAAAGATAGAAGTTCTGGCACGGCGCCCCCTCATATTTGTTATGCTCCAGTGGCGGTAATCTAATATCTAATCCCTGGCTGACTGCATCAAGAGATTTATGAGGAGGACATGCAGAGACAATGATGCCTGTGGAAGGTAGGACACCCCGGCCACATTCCTGTCACTGTGTACCTCGCCATGCTCTTTCCCTGGTGCTGAACCCGAGACGACGTGTTCACCGGCCTGTTAAACCCTCTGTAATGTTCTTTGAAGCAACACCTTCGGACACACTGGCAGTTGAACAATTTGTCATGGTCGCTCTTGTAAAAAGAGATCTTTGGCTATTGAAAGGTAGCAGTGTCCTTTATTTTAAGTGCGGTAGGTCCTTTATCTGCCAAATACATTGTTGCAGAAGAATGTTGCTGTTTATGTGGACAGGGAGTGAGTCCATGTAATGTTTATGCTTCTCCTACATTGAGTGTGTTGCCAATACCAATGTTAAACCCCAGATTGTTATTGTGTCAGCTCTCAATTCATTCATGCACAGTATTTCTTCACTCTGGCTCCCTTCCATCCATCTCCCTCCCCCTTCACCAAACCCCCCTCTTCTCTTCCAGTCTTCCTATCCTTCCCTATCTATCCTGAAGGGCTCTCCAGAGAATCAGGCCGCTAAAACTGATACCAACTATAAAAGGATACTTGACATCAAAGCAAAACTCCTTCCTCCTTACAAATTCAGTTAATTAAAAGATGACTAGACGGACTAAAGTGAGTGGCTGTTGAAGTCTCTTCTGAGTGCGCTCAGGAAAAGGGCACATCTGGAAAAGATGAAAGTGCTCCTACCTTTAATGGCTAAGATCATGTTTATTTGCCTTTTGATAAGCAGCACATCTGAGTTGGGGAGTATGAGTTGGAACAGTACAGATCTTGAAGATTCAGCAAAGATCAAATATGCCTGACTTAAGCGAAAGATGAATACGGATGGAGGGAAGGTGTTGTGGAGAGAGGTGTATCCATTACTCTTACCAAGGTTTGGTCTGTGTGCGCACACATGTGCGACATGTGTTAGCACACGTGTGTGTGTGTGTGTATATAATTGTGTGTACTCTTCCCCAGGAGGAGAAGATTGCTGTGGCCAAGGCAATGGGATTCCTGGAGAGTAACACATACTCAGCTGATGACCCGTACACCACAGCCCTGTCTTCCTACGCCCTGGCCCTGTTACGAAGCCCCTACGCTTCCCTCGCCCTCCGACGCCTCAACCACATGGCCATCACACAAGGTACTCAGCTGTAAGGAACTGATCTCATATCAGTTTGTTTGCCTACCAATTCATATTAAACACTAAACTGACATGACAGCTCCACTGTTCTTTCTCACACTGTTTCTTACACTTTTCTCTCTCTCCATTTCCTTCTTTCTCTTTCTTCTCTCTTTCAATCAGACGGCTTCACCCACTGGAGTCTGACAGGCAGCACGGTGACAGATGAGGACACCTTCATGGGCTTTAGTGACGGTCTTTCTCAGTCAGGTAGACTGTCTCGCCTGCTGTGGCCAAAGCAAGACTATCCTCTATGACTGATTATGAATTTTAGTATTAGTGTGAGTGTCTGGTGGCTGTCTAGTGTTTTGCATGCTAATAGTCTCCTCCGTGTCCCAGTGGTGTCAGCGGAGGTGGAGATGACAGCATACGGCCTGCTGACCTACACCCTACTGGGTGACGTGGCCTCCGCCCTGCCTGTGGTCAAGTGGCTCTCCCAGCAGAGGAACGCCCTCGGGGGTTTCTCCTCCACACAGGTACCCCTCACAAGCCTCTCCGCCTCTTTGTCCAAAGCATTCTCCAAAATGTGGTTGTATTTTTCCTTTATTTTACCAGGTTACCCTCACTGACATTTCAATTATCTTTTAGAAGAGAGAACTAGCTCACCAAAGTATATCTGAAACAACTGGTAACTAACTGGTCATCTGGTCAGTCTGTGTCCATAGCCTCCTTCTAATAACTGTCTGTCTATCCTCTTTCCTAGGACACGTGTGTAGCTCTTCAGGCGTTGTCTGAGTACGCCATCCTGTCATACGTGGGAGGAGTCAACCTGACCATCTCTCTGGCCTCTACCAACCTGGACTTCCAGGAGAGCTTTGAACTGCACCGCGACAACCAAAAGATCCTGCAGAGCGCCTCGGTAAAGAGTAGGGTCATGTTGCTCTTAGACTCCCATAATGGTTAAGGTTTGGATTGGAGGAAGGTAATCTGATCCTAGATCTGTGCCTAAGGGCATCTTCTTTCTGAGGTAAACACTCTTGCTCAGGTAGTTAAGGGACCCCTACTTGACCAGAATACACACTACACACATAAACTAAAGTTACACAATTGTCCATTTTCAATTATGAAAGGTATCTTAAATAACATCCACAAAGTCAATGCAGTTGAGGATAACAAGGAGACTTTATCTAAGCAATTGAATGTGTTTCCCAGTGAATGAACCAGTGAGTGTGTTCAGGCTGTGCGTCGACATTTCCTTCTCCTCCCCACAGTGAGGGAGTAGCTCAGGTAAGGGCTTGAACTTCTGTTCCCTCTGCCAGGCATGTAATTATCTGCCCTAATCAGCTGTGTCAGTTTAATTGGGGGTAATTTAGCTGTGCTGGTTAGTGGCTAGGCTATTTGACTGCTGCTGCTTAGATCTACAGCATTCAAATAAAATAAAATTGTATTTGTCACATGCGCCGAATACAACAGGTGTAGAGCTTACTGTGAAATATTTACTTACAAGCCCTTAACCAACAATGCAGTTAAGAAAATAGAGTTAAGAAAATATTTACTAAATAAACTCAAGTTTTAAAAAACGGAAGCAAACGAAATGGGGATAAAAATACCTGAATTTGTCCAATAGAAACTTGTTTGCAACTGTTGGACTAATGTTCTCACCCTAGATAATCTAGATGCAGGCAAGAGTGTGCAAGGCGGTATTGAATGTGTCACTGTCTGTCCATGTGTCACTGTCTTCTCTCGACCTGTGTGCACCTACGTTGTAAACATAAATTCATAGGCTAGGTTGTAGAAACCTCATGATGGGTATAGGGAAAATTCGAATATCATGTAGTAGCCTAAACCTATCGATGTTACATTGAACTGGGTGAATGGAATATGAATGACAGTCATCGAATATGCTGTAATAGAAATAAGGCCATGATCCTGAAAGAGTCCTCCCTCATCATAAACGGCACTGACTGCCACTGTGCTAAGTACAGGCATTGTCGTGCCCTCTTCACGACTTTCTTGGTGTGTATGGACCATTATAGTTTGTTGGTGATTTGGACACCAAGGAACTTGAAACTCTCAACCCGCTCCACTACAGCCCCGTCGATGTGAATGGGGGCGTATTCGGCCCTCCCACCACACTGCCAGGTCTCTGATCTCCTCCCTATAAGCTGTCTCATCATTGTCGGTGATCAGGCCTACGACCGTTGTGTCGTCAGCAAACTTAATGATGGTGTTGGAGTCGTGCTTGGCCATGCAGTCAAGATGTGTTGTTGCCTTACCCCCTGGGGGCGGCCCATCAGGAAGTCCAGGATCCAGTTGCAGAGGGAGGTGATTAGTCCTAGGGTCCTAAGCTTAGTGATGAGCTTTGTGGACACTATGTTGTTGAACGCTGAGCTGTAGTCAATGAACAGCATTCTCACATAGGTGTTCCTTTTGTCCAGGTGGGAAAGGGCAGTGTGGAGGGCGATAGAGATTGTGTCATCTGTGGATTGTTTGCGGCGGTATGCGAATTGGAATGGGTCAAGGGTTTCCAGGATGATGGTGTTGATGTGACCCATGACCAGCCTTTCAAAGCACTTCATGGCTACCGACGTGAGTGCTACTTTACCTTCACTTCTTGGGCACAGGGACTATGGTGGTCTGCTTGAAACAAACATGTAGGTATTACAGACTCGGTCAGGGAGAGGTTGAAATGTCAGTGAAGACACTTGCCAGTTGGTCCGTGCATGCTCAGAGTACACGTCCTGGTAATCCGTCTGGCCCCGCCTTGTGAATGTTGACCTGTTTAAAGGTCTTGCTCACATCGGCTACGGAGAGTGTGATCACACAGTCGTCCGGAAACAGCTGGTGCTCTCATGCATGCTTCAGTGTTGCTTGCCTCGAAGCGAGCATAAAAGGCATTTAGCCCATCAGGTAGGCTTGCGTCACTGGGCAGCTTGTGGCTGGGTTTCCTTTTGTAGTCCGTAATAGTTTGCAAGCCCTGACACATCTGACGAGCGTCAGAGCTGGTGTAGTAGGATTCAATCTTAGTCTGTATTGACGAAGCCATGGAATTACAGGAAAACATCCGCACTGACTAAAGGTGGCTGCGCTTGACCCGGACTTATAGAAATCCCGCTGACCTCCGACGAACCATCAAACAGCCAAGAGTCAAACAGTCAAGATGAATCATACTACTCGTCGGATGTGCAGGGCTTGAAAACTAAGACTACAAGGGAAGCACAGCCCGATGCTGCCCAGTGACACAAGCCTACCAGACGAGCTAAACCACTTCTATGCTCGCTTCGAGGCAAGCAACACTGAAGCATGCATGAGAGCACCAGCTGTTCCGGACGACTATGTGATCACGCTCTCCGTAGCCGATGTGAGTAAGACTTTTAAGCAGGTCAACATTCACAAGGCCGCAGGGCCAGACGGATTACCAGGACGTGTACTCCGAGCATGTGCTGACCAACTGGCAAGTGTCTTCACTGACATTTTCAACATGTCCCTGACTGAGTCTGTAATACCAACATGTTTCAAGCAGACCACCATAGTCCCCGTGCCCAAGAACGCTAAGATAACCTGCCTAAATGACTACCGACCCGTGGCACTGACGTCTGTAGCCATGAAGTGCTTTGAAAGACTGGTCATGGCTCACATCAACAGCATAATCCCAGAAACCCTAGACCCACTCCAATTTGCATACCGCCCCAACAGATCCACAGATGATGCAATCTCTATCGCACTCCACACTGCCCTTTCCCACCTGGACAAGAGGAACACCTACGTGAGAATGCTATTCATTGACTACAGCTCAGCATTCAACACCATAGTGCCCTCAAAGCTCATCACTAAGCTAAGGATCCTGGGAATAAACACCTCCCTCTGCAACTGGATCCTGGACTTCCTGACGGGCCGCCCCCAGGTGGTAAGGGTAGGTAACAACACATCTGCCACACTGATCCTCAACACGGGGGCCCCTCAGGGGTGCGTGCTCAGTCCCCTCCTGTACTCTCTGTTCACCCATGACTGCATGGCCAGGCACGACTCCAACACCATCATTAAGTTTGCCGACGACACAACAGTGGTAGGCCTGATCACCGACAACGATGAGACAGCCTATAGGGAGGAGGTCAGAGATCTGGCCGTGTGGTGCCAGGACAACAACCTCTCCCTCAACGTGACCAAGACAAAGGAGATGATTGTAGACTACAGGAAAAAAAAGAGGACTGAGCACGCCCCCATTCTCATCGACGGGGCTGTAGTGGAACAGGTTGAGAGCTTCAAGTTCCTTGGTGTCCACATCACCAACGAACTATCATGGTCCAAACACACCAAGACAGTCGTGAAGAGGGCACGACAAAGCCTATTCCCCCTCAGGAGACTAAAAAGATTTGGCATGGGTCCTCAGATCCTCAAAAAATTCTACAGCTGCACCATCGAGAGCATCCTGACTGGTTGCATCACCGCCTGGTATGGCAACTGCTTGGCCTCTGACCGCAAGGCACTACAGAGGGTAGTGCGTACGGCCCAGTACATCACTGGGGCAAAGCTCCCTGCCATCCAGGACCTCTATACCAGGCGGTGTCAGAGGAAGGCCCTCAAAATTGTCAAAGACTCCAGTCACCCTAGTCATAGACTGTTCTCTCTGCTACCGCACGGCAAGCGGTACCGGAGTGCCAAGTCTAGGTCCAAAAGACTTCTCAACAGCTTCTACCCCCAAGCCATAAGACTCCTGAACAGCTAATCATGGCTACCCGGACTATTTGCACTGCCCCCCCACCCCATCCTTTTTACGCTGCTGCTACTCTGTTAAGTATTTATGCATAGTCACTTTAACTCTACCCACATGTACATATTACCTCAACTACCTCAACTAGCCGGTGCCCCCGCACATTGACTATGCAACGGTACCCCCCTGTATATATAGCCTCCCTACTGTCACTTTATTCTATTGTATATATAGCCTCCCTACTGTCACTTTATTTTTTACTTCTGCTCTTTTTTTCTCAACACTTTTTTGTTGTTGTTTTATTCTTACTTTTTTGTTTAAAATAAATGCACTGTTGGTTAAGGGCTGTAAGTAAGCATTTCACTGTAATGTCTGCACCTGTTGTATTCGGCGCATGTGACCAATAAAATTTGATTTGATTTGACTTGGGTGACTGGAGTCTTTGACAATTTTTTGGGCCTTCCTCTGACAACGCCTAGTATATAGGTCCTGGATGGCAGGAAGCTTGGTCCCAGTGATGTACTGGGCCGTACGCACTACCCTCTGTAGTGCCTTACGGTCGGATGCCGAGCAGTTGCCATACCAGGCGGTGATGCAACCGGTCAGGATGCTCTCGATGGTGCAGCTGTAGAACTTTTTAAGGATCTGGAGACCCATGCCAAATCTTTTCAGTCTCCTGAGGGGGAAAAGGCATTGTCGTGCCCTCTTCACGACTTTCTTGGTGTGTATGGACCATTATAGTTTGTTGGTGATTTGGACACCAAGGAACTTGAAACTCTCAACCCGCTCCACTACAGCCCCGTCGATGTGAATGGGGGCGTATTCGGCCCTCCCACCACACTGCCAGGTCTCTGATCTCCTCCCTATAAGCTGTCTCATCATTGTCGGTGATCAGGCCTACGACCGTTGTGTCGTCAGCAAACTTAATGATGGTGTTGGAGTCGTGCTTGGCCATGCAGTCAAGATGTGTTGTTGCCTTACCCCCTGGGGGCGGCCCGTCAGGAAGTCCAGGATCCAGTTGCAGAGGGAGGTGATTAGTCCTAGGGTCCTAAGCTTAGTGATGAGCTTTGAGGGCACTATGGTGTTGAACGCTGAGCTGTAGTCAATGAACAGCATTCTCACATAGGTGTTCCTTTTGTCCAGGTGGGAAAGGGCAGTGTGGAGGGCGATAGAGATTGTGTCATCTGTGGATCTGTTGCGGCGGTATGCGAATTGGAATGGGTCAAGGGTTTCCAGGATGATGGTGTTGATGTGACCCATGACCAGCCTTTCAAAGCACTTCATGGCTACCGACGTGAGTGCTACTTTACCTTCACTTTCTTGGGCACAGGGACTATGGTGGTCTGCTTGAAACAAACATGTAGGTATTACAGACTCGGTCAGGGAGAGGTTGAAAATGTCAGTGAAGACACTTGCCAGTTGGTCCGTGCATGCTCAGAGTACACGTCCTGGTAATCCGTCTGGCCCCGCCTTGTGAATGTTGACCTGTTTAAAGGTCTTGCTCACATCGGCTACGGAGAGTGTGATCACACAGTCGTCCGGAACAGCTGGTGCTCTCATGCATGCTTCAGTGTTGCTTGCCTCGAAGCGAGCATAAAAGGCATTTAGCCCATCAGGTAGGCTTGCGTCACTGGGCAGCTTGTGGCTGGGTTTCCTTTTGTAGTTCGTAATAGTTTGCAAGCCCTGACACATCTGACGAGCGTCAGAGCTGGTGTAGTAGGATTCAATCTTAGTCCTGTATTGACGATTTGCCTGTTTATGGTTTGTCTCTCTAACCCACTCTCTCTCACCCCACTCCCACCCCTTCTCTCTCTCAACCCCAATCTCCCTTTCTTCCTCTCTCTCTCTCTCGCTCTGTCTCTCTCTCCCTTCCCTCCTCTCTCTGCAGATTCCCAGTATTCCCACAGGGCTGTTTGTCAGTGCTAAAGGCGAGGGCTGCTGTCTCATGCAGGTACGTTACTCCCCCTTCTATAATTTTATCCTTCACTCACACTGTGAATCCTCCAGAGGGGAAAAGCCAGTGCATTCCCATGACTCATTGCTCTAATGCCCAAATTCCTGTCTGTAAATCGGAATGATCTGGTAAAACGTAGGGAATTATTCAGCAGGGACTGTTCGTTCCTCAATTACACTGGATAAGATGCTGTTTTCCCTGTACCTTGTCACTAAAACAGAAGGCTATTTGAGGCCAGGGTGCATAAACAACTACTGGGGGGAGTTTCCTTGTTCAGCTTCCTGCTCTAGATAGAACACAGCGTTCCTCCTCTCCTCACTTCGCCTCTCCTGCATGTTTAGAAGAGCCTGTCAACCTTAACCCTCTTCACATGACAGGTGATCATTATACTGGTCTCAAATGGGTTCTGTGATCCTTCAGATAACTGACTAACAGTTATTGGATCCTTTGAAAAAGGACAGAAAGCTTATAAGCGTAATGCTGCAGTGTAATCCGTGCAGCAGGTAGCCTAGCGGTTAGAGCGTTAGGCCAGTAACCGAAAGGTCGCTAATTCGAATCCCTGAGCCGACAAGGTGAAAAATCTGTTGATGTGCCCTTGAGCAAGGCACTTAATTGCTCCAGGATAATGATAATGGCAGGCCCTGGCTGTGACCCCACTCTCCAAGGGTGTCTCAGGGAGAGTTGGGATATGCAAAAAAAACATATTTCCAATTCACACATGCATATTAATACACGTGTAAAACAGGACAGATATAAGCACCCAGCAAATGATGATTATTACATATATAGACTGAGTATATCAAACATTAGGAACACTTTCCTAATATTGAGTTCCACCCAGCCCCCCCCCCCCCTCCCCCTTTGCCCTCAGAACAATTTGTGGGGCATGGACTCTACAAGGTGTCGAAAGCGTTCCACAGGGATGCTGGCCCATGTTAACTCCAATGCTTCCCACAGTTGAGTGAAGTTAGCTGGATGTCCTTTGGGTGGTGGACCATTCTTGATACACATGGGAAACTGTTGAGGATGAAAACCCCAGCAGCGTTGCAGTTGTTGACACAAACCTGTGCGCCTGGCATCTACACTATATATATAAAAAGTATGTGGGCACCCCGTGAAATTAGTGGATTCAGCTACTTCAGCCACACCCATTGCTGACAGGTGTATAAAATCGAGCACACAGCCATGCAATCTCCACAGACAAACATTGGCAGTAGAATGGCCTTACTGAGGAGCTCAGTGACTTTCAACGTGGCACCGTCATAAGGATGCCACCTTTCCAACAAGTCAGTTCGTCACATTTCTGCCCTGCTAGTGCTGTTATTGTGAAGTGGAAATGTCTAGGAGCAACAACGGCTCAGCCGCGAAGTGGTAGGCCAAACAAGCTCACATAACGGGACCGCAGAGCGCTGAAGCGTGTAGCGCGTAAAAATAATCTGTCCTCGGTTGCAACACTCAATACCGAGTTCCAAACTGCCTATGGAAGCAATGTCAGCACAATAGCCGTTCGTCGGGAGCTTCATGAAATGGGTTTCCATGGCCGAGCAGCCGCACACAAGCCTAAGATCCCCATGCGCAATGCCAAGCGTCGGATGCCAGGAGAACGCTACCTGCCTGAATGCATAGTGCCAACTGTAAAGTTTGGTGGAGAAGGAATAATGGTCTGGGGCTGTTTTTCATGATTCGGGCTAGGCCCCTTAGTTCCAGTGAAGGGAAATCTTAACGCTACAGCATACAATGACATTCTAGATGATTCTGTTCTTCTAACTTTGTGGCAACAAAGGCCCTTTCTGTTTCAGCATGACAATGCCCCCGTGCACGACTCCTGTAGCTCAGTTGGTAGAGCATGGCGCTTGCAACACCAGGGTTGTGGGTTCGTTTCCCACGGGGGGCCAGTATGAAAAATGTATGCACTCACTAACTGTAAGTCGCTCTGGATAAGAGCGTCTGCTAAATGACTAAAATGTAAAATGTGCACAAAGCGAGGTCCATACAGAAATGGTTTGTCGAGATCGGTGTGGAAGAACTTGACTGGCCTGCACAGAGCCCTGACTTCAACCCCATTGAACACCTTTGGGATTAATTGGAACGCCGACTGCGAGCCAGGCCTAACCGCCCAACATCAGTGCTCGACCTCACTAATGCTCTTGTGGCTGAATGGAAGCAAGTCCCCGCAGCAATGTTCCAACATCTAGTGGAAAGCCTTCACAGAAGAGTGGAGGCTGTTATAGCCGCAAAGGGGGGACCAACTCCATTCGATGAGCAGGTGTCCACATACTTTTGGTCATGTAGTGTACTACCTTACCCTGTTCAAAGGCACTTAAATATTTTGTCTTGACATTCATTCTCTGAATGGCACATGTACACAAACCATGAGAGGAACCAGCTTCTGAGGGGTGGCCAGTCCTCTTCTAGCTGTGCCGGTGGAGATTATAAGAGTACACTGCAATTAAGTCTAGATCGTTCTTCAAGATGTTAAAACGTTCATAGATGACCAGCAGGGTAAAATAATAATCACAGTGGTTATAGAGGGTGCAGCAGGTCAGCACCTCAGGAGTAAATGTCAGTTGGCTTTTAATAGCCGAGCATTGAGAGTGAGAGTGAGAGAGAGAGAGAAATTTAGACTCTGCATGCAGAATTCTGCAAAAATATCCTCAGTGTACAACAAAAAACACCAAATAATGCATGCAGAGCAGAATTAGGCCGATATCCGCTAATTATCAAAATCCAGAAAAGAGCTGTTAAATTCTATAACCACTTAAAAGGAAGCGATTCCCAAACCTTCCATAACAAAGCCATCACCTACAGAGAGATTAACTTGGAGAAGAGTCCCCTAAGCAAGCTGGTCCTGGGGCTCTGTTCACAAACACAAACAGACCCCACAGAGCCCCAGGACAACAACAACAACACAATTAGACCCAACCAAATCATGAGAAAACAAAAAGAGAATTGCTTGACATAGAGCAAACTAGAATGCTATTTGGCTCTAAACAGAGAGTACACAGTGGCAGACCCAAACTTAAGGAAAGCTTTGACTATGTACAGACTCAGTGAGCATAGCCTTGCTATTGAGAAAGGCCGCCGTAGGCAGACCTGGCTCTCAAGAGAAGACAGGCTATGTGCACACTGCCCACAAAATGAGGTGGAAACTGAGCTGCACTTCCTAACCTCCTGCTAAATGTATGACCATATTAGAGACACATATTTCCCTCAGATTACAGAGATCCAGAAAGAATTTGAAAACAAACCCAATTTTGATAAACTCCCATATCTACTGGGTGAAAAAACACAGTGTGCCATCACAGCAGCAAGATTTGTGACCTGTTGCCACAAGAAAAGGGCAACCAGTGAAGAACAAACACCATTGTAAATATAACCCATATTTATGTTTATTTATTTTCCCATTTGTACATTAACTATTTGCACATTGTTACAACACTGTATACATAATATGACATTTGAAATGTCTTTATTCTTTTGGAACTTCTGAGTGTAATGTTTACTGTTAATATTTATTGTTTATTTCACTTTTGTTTACTATCTACTTCAGGCTTTGGCAATGTTAACATTTGTTTCCCATGCCAATAAAGCCCATAAATTGAAATTGAATTGAAATTGAGTCGAAACAGCAGGTCCGGGATAAGGTAGCAGGTCCGGTGAACAGGTCAGGGTTCCATAGCCGCAGGCAGAACAGCAGAAACTGGATCAGCAGCACGACCAGGTGGACTGGTGGCGGGGACAGACAGGAGTCGTCAGGCCAGGTAGTCCTGAGGCATGGTCCTAGGGCTCAGGTCCTCTGGGAGGGGAGAGAGGGAGAAATGGGAGAATTAGAGTGAGCAGCCTATCTCTGTCCCCCTTCCACTCCACACATTCCTCTCTCCCTCTATACACACACCACTTTTCCTGCTTTAAAACCTCTATCCCTCCATCCACACCTCTCTACCTCCCTCAGCACATCCCTCTCTCCGGTCTGCCAGTGCCTGAGGCCTGGAACACCTGGGCTGTAATGAGATGACAAGATAGGCATGATTAAAGAGAGAGCGTGCGTGTGCAAAACATGCGTACATACGTGCAGAAGTGCACGCTTGCATGTGTCTGTGTGTATGCTTATGTACGTGCAGGAGCACGTGCGCGCGTGTGTGTACTAGCTTCCACACTCAATGGGTTTGCTCTGCAACACAGGTTCTCTGCACTTTCTACTACATCCGGAATACATTCTGTCTCTCCAAGCTCTGCTTGTGTTCTCGCCTCAGATTGATGTATCCTACAACGTGCCTGACCCCGTGGCCAAACCAGCCTTCCAGCTCAAGGTGGACCTGAAGGAGCCCAGGCAGGAGCGTCACCCGCCAGCCCCGCCCTCCCCCCGCCACGCCAGCCCTCGCTCGCGTTCCCGTGCCGACAACCGCTCCGAGCTGAGCCGCAAACGCCGGGCTGCCACTGACGATGAAGACCCCGCAGCCCACCAAGACAACCTAGACTACCGCATCACCCTGGAAGCCTGCGCCAGGTACGCCTTTTAGCCTAGCATTGAGCCTAGTAGTTTCCCTAGTTCTGCTAGCATCTAGCCTGGTAGTTGGCCTAGTTCTGCTAGCATTTAGCCTGATAGTTGGCCTAGTTCTGCTAGCATTTAGTTTATCATCTAACTCTGTTTCTCTCTCTTCAGGTGGCTCCACACAGGTTCTTCCAACATGGCTGTCTTGGAGGTCCCTCTGCTGTCAGGTTTCCGTGCCGATGTGGAAAGTTTGGAGAGGGTAGGACATGAACATACACACACATTACAATGTCGTACAGACAGACGGCAGGTAGCCTAGCGGTTAGAGCGTTGGGCCAGTAACCGAAAGGTCACTGGTTCGAATTTCGACAATCTGAGTCTGTCTATGTGCCCTAGAGCAAGGTACTTAACACTAATTTGCTCCGGGGTGCCATACTACTATGGCTGGCCCTGTAAAAACACACATTTCAATGTGTATGTGACAATAAAACAAAACAACCCTCCCCCACCAAAAAAGACAGACACGGTTCACATTTGAAGGCCATTTCAGAGGTGGGGCGTGGAATTGATCAGTCCCCTTCTGTTTTCTGCTCAGTCCCCTGTGCTGCTCGTGCTTCTTCCCCTGTCTCAGAGAGGTGTTTGTGGATGTGTCTTTATTAATGGAGGAAGACGTTGAGTAGCTCTGCCATTGTGCTGGTACTCTTGGCAGACATAGACAAAACATTTGCGCCACAGTACTGAGTACTCTGCTCTGCCTCCCTTGTAAACACAGGGGTCATGCTGAATGTTACTGGGAATCGTGTACTGTGTGTGTTTATACAGCAGTAGGGTAATTACTATTGAGAGGGTATTTTTACTGCAGTGTGTCTGGATGAGGGCCAGCTCTGGCCCAGTGATGTTACTGTGTCTCTGGGGCTCCACAGGGAGCAAGGGCAGGGGGCACAAACCCTCACAGACCCTCTCTGGGCCTATAACCCAGCTGCCAGGCCAGGGAAGGGCTGGGCCACTGGGGGTTGCCATTGTTTATCCCAACTACCCCGCTCTGAGAGCCAGAGGAGAGGGACCCAGGGACGCATGGCAGCCATCTGATGGAGGGGGGTGAGAGGTTAGTTGAGGTCACCTCCCCAGGCCCTCTTCAAACACTTTTCTCCCTCATTACTGCAGAGTTATGGGCCCCAGAATCAAACTATCCACCTTCGTAAAGACCTACCTACCTGGGGGGACAGATTCACACCCACTCACACACACACTATCTCCCTGAGACTTGAGGGAGTCGGTGCTGACCTGTGTGTTGAAGTGGCTTACAAGCTCAGTTTACAGAGCCAGCCCTGCCCACCTCCCTGCTGTACGACTGCCTGACTGCCCTGACCAGCAGCATTCCTCACTTCACGAGACGGAGCCTCGCTTATGCAGTCATGTCTTGTTGTTTTCATAGATGTTACTTGGAATCCTTACACCACATACTTTGGCTTACGCCTCTATTGCTCTTTTTATCCATATAATGAGCTGAGCTGAATGGAGCAAAATGCCTTTCACGCTACGCTACGCTACGCTACCTATTTTTATGTTACTTTAAGTGCTAAGAGAAAGTGAATGGAATACATTTAAAGTTGTTACTATAATTATAGTTATTGTCAAAGGAGAAAACAACACAGCCTTCTCTCTCTCTCTCTCTCTCTCTCTGTGTCCCAGTGGCGCCAGCTACGGCTGAGCACCTCATAAACATCATCTGTCCGTAGGACTGCCACCTTTTAGAGAGCCCTGTGGGAGGAATTAACCCTCGCCCCAACACCCACCGCCTTAGGCAGTAAACAGCAACTCCCTCATAGACAGTCGACACTGGTACTGTTATTGGAAGCTGGCTCCCTCCCTTTGGCTTGTAAACAGGCTTGACCTACCTACAACTGGACTGAAAGGTCACCAGAATACTCACTGGCCATCAGTGAGACAACAGAAAAGCTTAGCATTGAGCCAGACTCTGGGTTCTGTCCCTGGTTCTGTACTATAATTCGATACTTGTATAAGGGTGTTTGTTGAAAGAGGTATTTTACCTAATGACCTAATGTTTGGTTGAGAAGTTCAGAATATGTAGTGACCATCTATCCCCCTTTTCCTATCATAAAGCTGCTGCTGGACAAGAGGGTTGGTCTGAAGAGGTACGAAGTGGATGGAAGGAAGGTCCTCTTCTACTTTGATGAGGTGAGTTAGCCATACTGGTATATCACCATTGTAATCTGGTGTACTGTACTGTGATCAGTTCTAACTGTTTTACATGTTTGCCCTGTCTCTGTGCTTGTCCCACAACGCAGATCTCCAGTCAGTGTATGACGTGTGTGGCCTTCCAGGCTGTCAGGGAGTACATCATGGGCAAGACAGCGCCTGTTCCGGTCAAGGTGTACGACTACTACGAACCAGGTGTGCCTCGGATAGGATGAATATTTTTAACAGCCCCTCACTTTGCGAGCAGGAAAACCCTCCTCTCTCTTCACAATGATTTACTGACCGCCTTCTCTCGGAGGAAATTGGAATTCTCTGGTCTGTGGTTTAAAATACAAGTACAGAGTTGTTTTGTGGAGAGGCGTGTCCACTACTCCTACAAAGCTGTGTGTTTCTGTCTCTCTCTCTCTCTATACAGCATTTCAGGCCACTCGCTTTTACAATGTGAGCGAGAGCAGTCCCCTGGCCCGCGAGCTGTGTGACGGCACCACGTGCAACGAGGTGGAGAGCTCAACCAATCAGTGGATAGGTAAGAGTTACAGCACTCTACTGTATGTCCATAACGGAACTACCACATTATAGTTGTGTTAGTGCCCATTAAGCCCAGCTAATGAAACAGTGAGAGAGAGCGCGAAGGTGTGACTTATGTCTGACGGGGCTCCTCTGTAAACCTCCATTTCCTGTCCCTTTACTTTCTAAGAGTGTGTGTGTCGTGCCTAAACTGTTATTGGCACGGGCCGATGTTGGGAAGGGAAGAAACAGAAAAGCAGGCCCACACAGGAATGTCCACTGTCCTGGTTGTCATCGTTTCAGCGACACATACACACACTCTCATTAGCGGGGATTGATGTTGCTACAACAAATGGCAAAGTTTGGCCCTGTCACCGTGGTGACGGGTGGATGACCCTGTTTGTGTTGATGCTGTGTTTTGCCGGCCTGGCTGAGAGAGAAAGGCTGAGGGGCTGGGACCCCTGTGCAGCTGGAACCAAGGCCATGCCCAGACCCTAGGGAACAGCTCAAATCAACACACACATCCTCTTACACACACTTCCTTTTTCTCTCTCTCTCCTGACACTTTCCCTCCTATGAAAGATGTAATCTCTTTATTTGCCTGACCCATGGTTGGAATATTTTTTGGTCCTGTGCATTTTACTATAAACTAACATTATGATGGTTGAATTCCACAGCTAAAGTCACACAATGTTGATACACATTGTTAGAAAAAAGTAAAAGATCCCCAAAGTTGAAAAAATATATAATTTCTCCTATCCTTTGTTTTTTCTTTGACCCAGGTTTTGTCCAGGGGAACCAATGTAACAACGTGTTTGGCTGTCTGGAGGAGGAGCAGTTTGAGCGTTGCACCTGCTACAGGGACTGTGGCTACGACGGAGAGCTGGTGTGTGGCTCAGACGGACATCTCTACCAGAACCAGTGCCAGATGGAGGTCTTCGCCTGCCGCAACGGGACCCGCATAGAACAAGTGCCCATGTCCCAGTGTCCTCAGAGTAAGACTACTCTACCAGGAATGGGCTCCATTCCATTTGAAATTCAGTTCATGAAAAATCCTCAATGACCGTAATGGACAATTAATCAATTCATGAGTTTGATGTCAATTCATCCTCTGAATGGATTGAAATAAAAGCTGCTACAGCTGTGGCACCACACCCACTGACTGCTCTTAACACTAGCATGCCAGGCTCTGTACCCCTCCCAGTGGCTCTGCCAGCCAGGCCCACATATGGCTCTGATTTATCGGTCAGCTGCCACACATTGAAGAGCTAAAAACACGATCTAGTTCATAGTCAAACATTACATCCACCGAAAATATGTCTCCAAAATATTTTGATTATGAGAAACACCCTTTGAAGAATTGAAGAGAGGATGTGCTGGGAAGAGGGTGCAGGGTAGCCCAACATGCACGTGCACATACTCTCTTTCTCACACACACACACATACATACACATGTGCACGCACACAAACAAGTAGGAGAAGAAAGAGTGAGGTGTGGCTGTGGTAACAGCTGTTCAGGTGCAGGCTGACTGCTGGATGAAGTTTGTGAGGAGAGCTTCTCTCCCCCCTCTCTGCCCAGCGCTACTACAGTGAGGGAAAAAAGTATTTGATCCCCTGCTGATTTTGTACGTTTGCCCGCTGACAAAGAAATGATCAGTCTATAATTTTAATGGTAGGTTTATTTGAACAGTGAGAGAAAGAATAACAACAAACAAATCCTGAAAAACGCATGTCAAAAATGTTATAAATTGATTTGCATTTTAATGAGGGAAATAAGTATTTGACCCCCTCTCAATCAGAAAGATTTCTGGCTCCCAGGTGTCTTTTATACAGGTAACGAGCTGAGATTAGGAGCACACTCTTAAAGGGAGTGCTCCTAATCTCAGCTTGTTACCTGTATAAAAGACACATGTCCACAGAAGCTATCAATCAATCAGATTCCAAACTCTCCACCATGGCCAAGACCAAAGAGCTCTCCAAGGATGTCAGGGACAAGATTGTAGACCTACACAAGGATGGAATGGGCTACAAGACCATTGCCAAGCAGCTTGGTGAGAAGGTGACAACAGTTGGTGCGATTATTCGCAAATGGAAGAAACACAAAATAACTGTCAGTCTCCCTCGGCCTGGGGCTCCATGCAAGATCTCAAATCAAATTTTATTGGCCACATGCGCCGAATACAACAGGTGCAGACATTACAGTGAAATACTTACAGCCATTAACCAACAGTGCATTTATTTTTTATAAAAAAGTAGAATAAAACAAAAAAGTGTTGAGAAAAAAAGAGCAGAAGTAAAATAAAATAACAGTAGGGAGGCTATATATACAGGGGGGTACCAGTGCAGAGTCAATGTGCGGGGGCACCGGCTAGTTGAGGTAGTTGAAGTAATATGTACATGTGGGTAGAGTTAAAGTGACTATGCATAAATAATTAACAGAGTAGCAGCAACTCACCTCGTGGAGTTGCAATGATCATGAGAACGGTGAGGAATCAGCCCAGAACTACACGGGAGGATCTTGTCAATGATCAAGGCAGCTGGGACCATAGTCACCAAGAAACAATTGGGAACACACTATGCCGTGAAGGACTGAAATCCTGCAGCGCCCGCAAGGTCCCCCTGCTCAAGAAAGCACATACAGGGCCGTCTGAAGTTTGCCAATGAACATCTGAATGATTCAGACGAGAACTGGGTGAAAGTGTTGTGGTCAGATGAGACCAAAATTGAGCTTTTTGGCATCAACTCAACTCGCCGTGTTTGGAGGAGGAGGAATGCTGCCTATGACCCCAAGAACACCATCCCCACCGTCAAACATGGAGGTGGAAACATTATGCTTTGGGGGTGTTTTTCTGCTAAGGGGACAGGACAACTTCACTGCATCAAAGGGACGATGGACGGGGCCATGTACCATCAAATCTTGGGTGAGAACCTCCTTCCCTCAGCCAGGGCATTGAAAATGGGTTGTAGATGGGTATTGCAGCATGACAATGATCCAAAACACACGGCCAAGGCGACAAAGGAGCGGCTCAAGAAGAAGCACATTAAGGTCCTGGAGTGGCCTAGCCCATTTCCAGACCTTAATCCCATAGAAAATCTGTGGAGGGTGCTGAAGGTTCGAGTTGCCAAACGTCAGCCTCGAAACCTTAATGACTTGGAGAAGATCTGCAAAGAGGAGTGGGACAAAATCCCTCCTGAGATGTGTGCAAACCTGGTGGCCAACTACAAGAAACTTCTGACCTCTGTGATTGCCAACAAGGGTGTTGCCACCAAGTACTAAGTAATGTTTTGCAGAGGGGTCAAATACTTATTTCCCTCATTAAAATGAAAATCAATTGATAACATTTTTGACGTGTTTTTCTGGATTTTTCTGTTGTTATTCTGTCTCTCACTGTTCAAATAAACCTACCATTAAAATTAGTGGGCAAACGTACAAAATCAGCAGGGGATCAAATACTTTTTTCCCTCACTGTATATTACAGGGAACCCCAAATGACAGAGTGTTTTTGTCCAGGCCTTTGAAGAAAACCCTGTCACATTCCTTTCCGACGCACAAACCAACAACAAAGGAGCCTTCTTGTTGTGGATTGGGAAAAAGCACATACCAAAACCTGTGTGGGAAAACTAGGCTGCCTGCGCCAAGTTTACAGTAGATTATCAAAAGGACTGGATCCTTGTTTACACCTTCCTCTCATTGTTTGTTTGTGTATGGCTGGTTTGGAAATAAGCACCCACATTGGAAATACGGGAAAATATATCATGCTTTTACCGTAACCATACAGTACAATATGTGGTCTGTGTAACATTGGCTTGTTGTCATTGTGTTGTCTTTGCTCACACAGTGGAATCCACCACGGAGGACGGAGAGAACGCAACAGGCGAGGAACCTGAGCGAACTCCTGTGCCTGTACACACAGGTAAATACAGTGCATGGGAAAACACATCTCTTCCCCTCTCTACCCTCACTCCAACCCCTATCTTCCCATCTCTCATTGGATGCCAGCTGTTCCCAGCTGCAGTAGTGTGTGTGTGAGAGTGCCAGCCAAAGGCAAGGGCTGGAGAGTTCAGGTGTATCACCTCTGAGTGAAGCTGGCATTGACGTGCAGGCATGTGAGGAGGTTCATGCACTGTGTATCAAAGAACCCTGCTCTGCGCCGTTCCCACTCTGAGACACTGTATACAAGCCTGACAGATGAAGACCAGACCTCTAGTGCCAAATGTAAATACATCCATGGATCTGTATTATACACATTCAACCCTCTGAGAACATCCACATACAAAATCAAATCAAATTGTATTTGTCACATGCGACGAATACAACAGGTGTAGACCTTACAGTGAAATACTTATTTATAAGCCCTTAACCAACAAAAATAAGTGTTAAGTAAAAAATAAGGGGTGGGGGGGGGGGACAATGCAAATAGTCCGGGTAGCCATTTGATTAGCTGTTCAGGAGTCGTATGGCTTGGGGTTAGAAGCTGTTAAGAAGCCTTTTGGACCTAGACTTGGCGCTCCGGTACCGCTTGCCGTTCGGTAGCAGAGAGAACAGTCTATGACTAGGGTGGCTGGAGTCTGACTGCCTCCAATAGTTTGCAATAACCTATACCCACTGTAAGGTCCATCACCATGCATCGGCCTCTTCTTGCTTGTCTGGATATATGCAAATAAGTATAAAGAGTTTGATCAGTGTTGTAGATGAGTTAGCGGTGTAGATGAAAGAGTTCCTGTCCTCCAGGTCTGATCATTCTGTCTGCCTGCAGTGTGCTGGGGGCTGCTGGGACTTTTCCCGGCCGTCTGCAGTAGAGGAGAGGAGAAGGGGGAGTAGAGCACTGACTCCTCAGCGGATCACGTCTACAGGCTACTCTCACATTCTGATAAACAGGAGGATAGGCTTTCCTTAGGGGGGATAGTTTTGCTTGAAGAGGATATTTGTTGCTCCACCACAGGGTTCACTTATGTTATGCTTAAATAACTTGTTACAGAACTCCAGGTAAGTTGTATCACTCTTTATGTTGGTTTGTAGCAGGAGTCGTGGGCTGTGGTAGAGTAGACTCACATCCATGCGTGTGTATTTACGCGCGTGTGTTTGATGTGGTCTATGCCTGCGCTGACTTGTTCCCAGCCTGCAGCTATAATGGAGTTCCACAAAGGTCAAAGGTCTCCTCAGTACAAAGACTGATGCTTCACAGTGGAAAAGACCTCACCCCAGGAATGCCATTAAAACTCGACTGCGGTACACACATAGAGAAAACATGTATCATACCAGATTATACACTCAACGAACAGCTGTGTAATTCTGAGCTAATAAATGTTGTTGAGCTGAGCTCCACTGAGAGTTTGGTTAGGTAGATTGTGATGGATGTGATTTTGTGTGCCAAGAATCTGACAGCATTCTCAACAGCTTTAGTAAAACATTGAGGCTTTTGAATCAGTTTCTCTGTAGACATGTCCCTTAGTGGTGAAACGGCATCAGAGCTGAGGGCATGATTAATTCAACAAAACACACTGATGAAAATAAATGGAGTGTAGTGTGTGTATTCATCTGCAATGAATGATTTCCAAAAGGAGCAGTGTGCATGCAGTGCTTAACATTAAAAAGGACATAGTGACCCCTACTGGCAACCTTGTACAATTAACTATTTTGGTAGATACTCTGTGGAAACATACTGTTATGCCCCTTGACTTAAAACTATTTTTTTGTGAACAATTGTCTCATATCTTATTTTTAAGGATATTTCTCACCATCCCACCTGCCCTCTTCCTCTCTCTTGTCTCTGTCCCTCTCTCACTCTCTGTCCCTCTCTCTCTCTCTCTGTCCCTCTCTCTCTGTCCCTCTCTCACTCTCTGTCCCTCTCTCACTCTCTGTGTCCCTCTCTCTTGTCTCTGTCCCGCTCTCACTCTCTGTCCCTCTCTCTGTGTCCCTCTCTCTTGTCTCTGTCCCTCTCTCACTCTGTGTCCCTCTCTCTGTGTCCCTCTCTCTTGTCTCTGTCCCTCTCTCACTCTCTGTCCCTCTCTCACTCTCTGTCCCTCTCTCTTGTCTCTGTCCCTCTCTCACTCTCTGTGTCCCTCTCTCTTGTCTCTGTCCCTCTCTCTGTGTCCCTCTCTCTTGTGCTGTAGGTGAGGAAGAGCAGGGTTCCATGGCTGAGGTGTCCTACTACTCCTATGAGTATGACCCTGAACCCTTCCCTGCCGAGGGAGAGGACCATTTGGAGCTGGAGGCAGGGGAGCAGGGGGGAGAGCAGGAGAGTCCATCAGATATCCAGTTACCCACACTGGACACAAATGACCCCCCTGAGCGATGGTACGGCTCTCTGTCTCTCTGCACAACAACACTGAGTTTGAACCACAGGAGGCTGCTGAGGGGAGAACGGCTCATAATAATGTTCGGAACGGCGCTAATGGAATGGCATCAAACACCTGGAAACCATGTTTGATACCATTCCACTGATTCCGCTCCAGTCATTACCACGAGCCCGTTCTCCCCAATTAAGGTGCCACCAACCTCCTGTGGTTTGAACCATTAACATGGTGGTAACGTGAATAGGGCTTGAAATGAACTCAACTGTGACTTTGTAACATCAAACCTGTGTCAGTCTATATCCACTGTAATAACAAAGTGTATTCAGATACCTCTACATCAAAGATAGCATATCTGTACCTTTCTACCCGATTGCAATGAAGAACCTTAGAGATCTTATTCAGTGTCCTGTTCTCCTCTCCTCCACAGAAACTGCCCCTGACTGCATCACCAGCCAGATCTCCAAATTGTACATTGTTTGTGAATATGTTAGTGAGTGGAGAGAGAAGGAAGAGTGGGGACTGCAGCCTGAAAGGAAGTGATTGTGTGTGTGTGTGTGTGTGTGTGTACGTTAATGACTTAAGGACTGTGTGTCACTAAGCTAGTCCCCCTCTAGCCCGCTTTGTTTCTCTCTCTTATATCTCCAGTCTCCTATTCACCAGTAGACACCACAGCCATAGCGTCTTTGATATTCACTGTAGTGCCTTTACATTGTTTTTCTGTAATCTCTAGATTGAATAATCAAGTATTTATGTTTGTAATTACACCTGAGTTAAAACAATTGTTTTGTTGTTTTTTCTATCTGTGGTATTTATTTGTAGCTAGTGCTTTTGTTTTGTTTTATTTGTTCCAATGCCACCCCCTATTGCCTTCTTGTCCTGTCACCTACACCAGTGTCTTCATTTCATTCATCAACAATGACAAGATGTGATGCACCTATTATTCTTATTCGGAGGAAGCCTTAGGTCAAACACTGAGGTGTACAGTTGATATCTTTATATACTTATTTGGTGTTTAACCTGCTAGAGATCGAGATTGCATTTCTGCAGCCTTAAACTGGAGGATAAGAAGCTCAATTATTCTAGACATCTTTACCAAGCTACCAATATCTTCACATAAGTCCTATTTGGGTAGAGCTGTCACCTTACTGTTGAACACACAGGGATTTTATTGTACAGTACATAAGCTATTTTGTTTTGTTAAATGTTGACTCTTGATAGCATAAAACAAGAATAAAGGTTTGGAATTACTGTAAATTTACCAAATTTAAACCAGTCTAACCCCACATCCATTTCCAATACAGTTGCTTTTGAAAAAGAATAAACTTTGTATACAATCCATGTCTCTGTTTGCAGGTAACTTTACATGCTAATGTAACTCTATTCCCTATATGTATAGGCCTATATGTTACATAGGAAATGAGGAGCAGACCTGGTGGTTAAGGAGTTGTTGGTCCATTTCCTTTGCAACTGTAGTTTAGCCTGAGGAGAATTTCCTGTCATCCTGTAAGCAGTGAGCTGTGTTATTGTCAAGCGCTGTGGCCCTTCAGAATGCCCTCTGCTTTGAAGGCTGTGACTGTGACCCCTGGCATGGCTGTGTGCAGCGGGGCTAACCTGTGTGTTTGTCCCTGTTAACAACACACTCTGGTTACCTAAACAGCAGCCAGGAGAGAGTTAGAGCCTGTAAATGTTTAATGTTTGTTTTCGGCAGACCATGGTTAAGGCACTTGTCAACATTCTCAGTTACCGTATAGCTTCTGGCAACTTTCAGTGTGTGCTTCTGTTGCTGTTTAAAAGGACTACCTGTTCCAAACGGCACATGGATATGTTTCAATGTAGAGGTTATTAAGAGGGCAATGAGTCCACTATGATCAAACTACAGGAATGGTGGTGGAAAACTGTCAGATAACGTGTCTTACATGTCTTATAATATGCATAGTCTCTCACTTTCAGTGTATTATCATATACTGCACTATGTCAAGAAGGAGAATATATCACTCCACGGCTTTGTTGGTCTCTGTAAGGGATACTGTTAGTTCTGATATACAGTATGAATGGGATTTGTACAATATGAGTGGAAGGTCTGTTGTATGAATGGGGAAGGTACTGTAGGGACAGAGAGAACACGCTTCGCTGACCGAGCGATGCGGGAGACCTGGTTGCTGAGACTGAATATCCTGGAACGTCTCCCTGGCAACTGCATGCATGGTTGAAGTGTGATATTCTGCCTCCACGCTACGATGAACAGAGAAAGGAGGGAGAGGGGGGATCTTGGTTTCATGGATTGCTCTGTGGAGATATTGTTACATGAGAGTGAATCCGAGTAATGACATTGTTTCTAAGCACCAGCGGAGTGAGCCCCTCTGGCTGAGCTGCTATTTAACTGGCTGAGATGATGGACTAGTTGGACCCAGTTGGAGTGAGATCAAACATTGTCATTTTAAAGGGCCCTTCTAAACAAGATGCTACATTTTTATGATCTTCATGGGTCTTTGATGGTAGTGGTTCTTATTTTGGAGTGAGTAACTGCGCAGACTTAAGGTATGCATCACTGAATAGGCAAACTCCAAACTGAATTTCACTCAGGACGGATAAAGGAGGGCCATGCTGCTAAGTGAGCGCTGGCATCCATCTGACGCAGATCACCTCTACCATCTCACTAAGGAGAGAGGAACCTGCTGGCTGCGATGCATTGCTAGAGCCTGTTTGTGTCCACATCTACAGTAGTATGCTTCCTACCTGTGTTTTTGTACATACTGTATTGTCAAATTCCCTCTTACTATTGATTGAATTGAGCAGTTTGTGTAATGATTTGGAGGATGTTTTTGTAGGAGGACTTTTAGGACCATACATTTCTTTGACCATGGGGGAGGAGGTGAAAAAGCGCCCCATCATTGCCGGCAGAGAGAAAGGTGAGCTTCCTGAATGGAACAAACCTTGCGATACTTATTCAATACAGATAGATCACTCATGTATTCTGAATTGAGCAAATGTAACACGTAAACGTAACATGTCTAGTTAGTAATTTAATGCATTATCATGTCAGAGAGGGAACATTGACTGGAGGAGTTCATCATTTCTCAGAGCTTGGACTTGCCAGAACTCGCAGTAGTGGCTTTGCTTGTTCAGTGTGCACACGCATCTGAACATTTGTATGCTGATGTAATGTCAAATCAAATCTTGAAAAATTACATGCGCCGAATATAACCGGTGTAGACTTTACCATTAAATGCTTACTAACGAGCCATTTCCCAACAATGCAGAGTTAAAAAGCACAAAAAAGCTAAATAAGGCAATAGTAACACAATAAAATAACAAATAACGTGAAAGTGTGTGTGTGTGAACGTATGTTGTGTGTGCGTTGGTAGTCCAGTGAGTGTGCATAGAGCCAGTGCAAGAGAGTCGGTGCAAAACAAATCCTTTCCAAAAAAGTCATTTCCCAGGTTGTACCTTAAGTGTACTGTCTGCCGCAATGTCTGTCTCTAGCTGTGAAAGTCAGCTGTTTGGATGACCTAGCGTGTCTAATTTGCACCAGCCAGATGTAAATATGTGGTTTATATCCTCAGGCACGTCTTTATGAACTTTTTCAGCTTATTCGTCACTACACCATACTGTATATCATGTAATATGAATGAAGTAGACCAAATCCTTTCGTGCGCACACACAGGTCCTCAACCTATTGTGTAAAATATCTACCCCACAGGGCCAGGACCTGGGCGTTACGCTCTGCCACCGACTATTGGTTTCATCGGCCATGACTTCACCAAGCCAACCAGCCCTGCTTACTCCTTCCACGGCAGAATGAGCAACAACAGTGAGTGCTACAGCGGTCATTAAAGAGCCCCCAAGCTTTAAACATGACATGCTACTCTAATGGTCAATGGAAAACTACCTCAACTAGTATTAGTTGATCATGAAAGGGAATATTGAATGTTGTAATGTCAATGTAAAGCCACTGGGGGGAGACACCACATACCTGTCACAAGTTCTGAACCCTGTACTACAGTCCAGTATACCACTTACCAGCCAAATGTGACACTGTCCTTAGGATACTGGCAAACTTACTACAGTATTGTATATCAGTTATTTATTTGATAGTTTCTCTTGTTTGGCTGTGTAGTGTACGGTGTTGACTCCAGTCCTGGGCCTCAGTATTACATTGATGCAAAAATCACCCGTTTCGGCAGGGATGGCAACCCTGCATACTCCATGTTGGGCAGAGTGAGAGGATCATCAAGTAAGTTCCCACCAACTTCAGGGAAATACACTTTCAATTCAGAGCTGATCACATGTTTTAATGTGCCTATAAAGTTGTAATAAAGTATAACCGTGTTTTTATTTGTCAAAGACCAAAAGCTCATTACTAGATGTGAAAAGGTTGATTTTCCTAAAATATATGTTAATTACATAAGGACCTTGTTGAGTGTGGCAGTTTGTAAGCTACTTACAGCAGTAAGGCAACAAGATACAGCTGGATATGACAGCTCAAGCCTTGCCTTCTGCTGTCAGCTGTTGCAACTGAATTTCATGAACACACTCCACAAATATGCATACACTCTAAATTGACAATGAATCTATTGCATTCCACTTATCAATCTTGCTTGTTCACATAAAGCCAAAGCTAATTACAGCTTTTCCACCAGCAGGGCTTTTCCAGACTCCTGGACCAGGGGCATACAGCCCTGAGAATGCTCCTCCATGCAACACCCAGCGCAGACCCCCATCATACACCATGGGCTCCCGCACTCGCTACCGTACCATCGACTCAGTGCCTGCCCCCAACAAGTACTGTCTCCCTGCACTCATGGGCCCCCAGGTCCCCACCAAGCCAGCCAGTGCCAGCTACACCATCTCAGGGCACTGCAAGTCAGGGGGTCCCTCAGAGGACCTGTCCAAGACCCCAGGCCCTGGTAGATACAACAGTACAGATCCAAGTGTCTACCTTCCCAGGCAACCAGCTTTCTCCATGCTAGGTCGCCATGGCTTCCCCAATGATGCCACTCTGAAGCCTGGCCCTGGAACTCATAACCCTGAGAAGGTGACTGTCCACAAGCCCCGGGCCCCTGCCTTCTCTCTGGGCATCAGACACTCTGAGTTTGTCACCCCACTGGTGGTCAATGTAGCTGACTGAAAAGCACTTCCCACAACTATGTTCCTCTGTCATATGGAACTAGGTTGGATTAATCTGCAAAACCAAGAACTTGAGATGACAATAGAGAACCATTTCTACTGCTGTGCTGGCATAATATAAAATTAAGGACATTTAGATACAGAACATATAGAAACTTCCACACAGAAAGTAAAGAAATATTTTATTTACGTTCTGTCCAGCAACAAGTGTTGTTTAGAATTAACCGAAATATGACTATTCAGTCCAAATGTATACTGTCTGACAAGAGAATATATATATATATATATACACACACAAAATAAAAACATTTTCAGAACACGCAAAGTTCTTTCTTTTGAATAAAATATTCCACGTTCAAGAAAGAAAACTAAATTTGACCACTGTTCATTAATACAACATATATTGGCAAGTAAGTAAACATCAATAAAAGTGTAGCAAGTGTTATTCAAGCTCGGTAAAGTCTCATGAATGAGAAATTTAATATTCATATTGTATCAATAAAAGCAGAACTGCTCACCATCTGGTAGTGGGGGCTGAGCCATCAACACTCCTCGGGCTGCCTCTATCATACATCCAACATTTTGGGGAGGGAGTTGTTAAAAATAAAACTTAAAGGTCTATTCTATACACCAAAACACATGGAGAGATGTACATCTTGTTTAATCAACAAAGACCATACAATTAAACTAAGGTGGCTTTCGGGGACGTGGAAGATGATTTTCACTCAATCCTTTGGAAGCGGTCTTCTGAAAAGCAATATATGCGGCTCTAGAAGTAAAACAAAAAGTAGCTAATTCAATACTGACTTCAAGCTAGTAGAGATGGCTATTATTTTCAAACATGCAGCTGGCATAACAATGGCTTTATATCTGTAGGGATGTGATCAGGACAACATAGAAAATTGGGGAAAATAGGTCATTGGTTGGGGAAAAGCCATGTAATAGGCAATACAATATATGGCCTAGAACAGAAAGCTAGCAAGTACATTTAAATGATGTATGAAAGAGGATATCAGATGTATCTTTTCATAACCAGTCATGAGAAGACTTGTGACATAAGTAAAGTTAATGCTTTAGAAAAGATGTTGCTCGTATGAAACGTCAGTTCTTGGTCACTATAAGTTAAGTCAGACTGGTTAGCTAACTTTCGGTCAATAGCTCACCTGGCTTGTGGATCATGTAGTGGATCCAGCCCTGGCTCTGCTGCACCCCCAGACCCCTCCATTCATCTTCTGTCATCAAGTGAGAGGTTGGCACCAGCTTTGATAACTGTTTCGGGAGCATAACATGCCTGTGTAGGAAAGGGATTTTGAATTCACCCAATTAACGTAGCTTGCTAGTTACTAACTGGAAAGTACTTGGTGTTTACTAGTACATGTAACGATAGCTAACTAGCTCGCTAGCAAGCACCAGTAGGCCAAATAACTTTGAACATGTTGTGGCAACACCAGCTGATATTATTAGCTAACGTTAGCGGTCGTTAACCAAGTCACATGATACAGTTCGCTAGCTAGCTAAACAAATGATTCCAGCCTCCAGTCGCCAGCCAACAAATGTAATAACAGTATCATTATTATTTTGACAAATACAGTATTATGGCTGGCTGGCTCGCTAACTAGCAAGTTGGCTAGCTAACCAACCTGGGGAGCTGGGTGCATTTGCTCGCGGTAGCAAAGCAAGTTAACTAACGTTAGCTAGTAAGCAAGCATGTTAACAGTATACAGTACCGTAGTAGCTAGCGTTACAACTTCAACCTACCTGTACTCAAATGCTTCATCTGTGTACTTGTCAGAGTAGTAAATTTGTTTCTTCGACATGTTTAATCGAACAGAAGTATATAACACAATCTTCTGGATAGGTTTTCGTATTTTCAGACAGCTGTCAGTTTCGATAAGCGATAGCTGGCTAGATTTGAATGGGCGCAACGCAAATTGTAATCTGCAGTGTATCCGCAAATTTTGAACTCAAACGGTTCCACTCTTGGCCGGGATTGGTGAAGGCGCGCGTGGGCAAAACAAACTAAATGCGCGGCGCCCCGCCCCCACCTTCTGACGTTGACAGCTGTACACATGGTGAGATATTTCTAAAATGTTAGACTTTTATGATTTTTCCATTGTTTTTTTCGTCGAGTAAATGTCAATATACATTTATCGTGCTTCTTTAGTCCTACAATCGTGAATATTCGTTGACAAATGCCTGAATGCCACACAAAAAATGGTATATAGCCATATTCTACGGGATTAGTTTTACTGGGGGTGGTCGTGTAACGTAATTATGTGTACGAGCACAAAAGACTATATCTGTAATTTAGTTCCGAATCTGCAATGGCAGTGATTTTTACATTGCTGGAGAGTAACAATTCCAGACAGAATAACCCACTGTTTTTTGGCAAACTCCAAGGTCCTCTGATAATATTAGTACAGTGCGAATCAACATCCCTGTGTTTTGAGAGAAATGTCTGAGTTTGACAGGTGTTGCTCACGGTTTGAGCAAGAAAACAATAACTGATTCGATAAATTGAACGAAGTAATGCGCATAGCCTATATATTTACATTTTAGTCATTTAGCAGACGCTCTTATCCAGAGCGACTTACAGTTAGTGAGTGCATACATTTTTTCCCCCCATACTGGTCCCCCGTGGAAATCGAACCCACAACCCTGGCGTTGCAAGCGCCATGCTCTACCAATTGAGCTACGGGACATATATGAAGGGCCTACATGTAGCCTATCAACTTTCAAAGTGAATGATTTTATTTATATGTTTTGTTCGTATGAATTGAATATTGCCAAATGCATCAGTAAAAAAATAGTGCGCCTATGTAATAACCCTTGCTGTTAATAGATGGCAAAGCAGCATACAACTGGCCTAAACTTTTGGAAATGATAAGTTCACTTTCTCATCCATAGCCTTAAAACGCATCTCAAGTGCAAGTGCACTGTTTAGCTCACATCTGAACGCATTACTGGGGGCAAACTACCCGCCCTCCAAGACACATACAACACCCGATGTCACAGGAAGGCCAAAAAGATCATCAAGGACATCAACCACCCGAGCGACTGCCTGTTCACCCCGCTATCATCCAGAAAGCGAGGTCAGTACAGGTGCATCAAAGCTGGGACCGAGAGAATGAAAAACAGCTTCTATCTCAAGGCCTATCAGACTGTTAAATAGCCATCACTAGCACATTAGAGGCGGCTGCTGCTGCCTATTGAAATCACTGGCCACTTTAAGAAATGGAACACTAGTCACTTTAATAATGTTTACATATCTTGCACTACTCATCTCATATGTATATACTGCATTCTATTCTATAATATTCTACTGTATTTTAGTCCATGCCGCTCTTTCATTGCTTGGCCATATGTATATATTCTTAAAACCCATTCCTTACTAGTTTTGTGTGTATTGGATATATGTTGTGAAATTGTTAGATATTACTGCACTGTCGTAGCTAGAAGCACAAGCATTTCGCTACACCCGCTATAACATATGCTAAACACGTGTATGTGACAAATACATTTCGATTTGATTTGATTTGAAGGCTGGGGGCAGGCCCGGCGGCAGGATTACTCCGCAAGGGGGCATCAGAAATGACTAAGGGGACAACTATTTTCGCTTGCTGATAACACAGGATGGATAGTAATCGATAGTACAATTACATAAAATGTATTTGCAGCCACGCACGGCTGTCTTGCCGCAAGAATACAGGCTACTGCACCGCTTTACAAACATGGACAATTCATAACCGGCTCGAGAAATTGCAAGTTATGACAACGCTACATAGCTACATGCACAATACCCATCAATCCAATGCAAAACAGTTGCTAATTACCGTAATAACACTTCCGCATGCCAATACAATGCATTTCCAATCGCGGAAAGCAAACAATAATGTACAATGCACTACTACGACTTATCGGGACAATGCAGCTTGGACGCAGCTACCAAGCTGTCTTCGCACAAGAGTGTTGTACTACGCTGCGTATGATAACAGATAAATTAGTATTCCATAGCAACGAGTTGTTTATGGCAACACTATAGCTACATCGTTACTCAACCATTGGTTAAGGTCTGCCCATCCTCATCAATGTAATGAAAAGCACCTCTTCTACCATATAAAACAACATTAAAAACAATCCGATTATATTATAAACCAAACATTTCCAATCCAATCACATCACAGAAATCAAGCAGTAGACTTGGCAGTAACGCCAATAAAGAAAATCACGTCTACGCCTATTTCTGACATTTGCCACGCATTTCCAAAAGCTAGCAAATAACAAAATAATACAAGCCCAGCCAGGCTGCCTGTTCTTACTCAGATTCAAAAGAGTTGTAGCCGCCTTGATGCTGTGTTGAACCTCCTCAGCAGTCTCTCGTTCCACTCCCCACGGAATTTGCTTGTAAGATCCCTCTCAAATGCCAGTTGAATCAGCTGCGCTTTGCTCCTGTGCAACACGCTCCGTCTGTGCTCACTGAATATGTTTTTCAATGTTGAAAAAAACTTCTCGCAAATTGCCGTGGATGCTCCAAATGTTAATCCTAGTTTCAATGCCATTATCACAGTAGGCATTGCTGTTAGAGGCCCGGAGTATCTATCCAAAATGCTCTGCGTAGTCCATTTTTCTTCTCCAGATCGGGCGATTTCAGTCTGTAGAACCTGGCGTGCGACAGTAAACTCAGTTTCCACAAAGTCTCCTGAGATTAAGTCCAGCAGTGATTTCACCTTTTCCACATCCATAAAGGTTTCATTCTCTGGGTACAGGGCCTCAACACGTTGGCTGTTTTGTTCGTTAAATCTTGCTGACATTTCTCCCAATACAGCATCCAGAATGCAGAAAAATAGTATTTTGCACTCCCTCTCATTATCCTCTTCTTTGCTGGCCATTGTTGTTTCGACCACATATTCATTCAGATTACTACTCACTACACTTTGCCGTTTGCTTGGAGTGGTGTGTCGGTGTGTTTGTATTTCTCCCATAACTCATCAAACTCACTGT